TGACAAGGAGGGACACTGATGACGGAGACCCAGCGGGACAACCAGACCTGTTCCCGCTGCTCCCGGCTGCCCTGCTCCGCGTCCGCCTGCTGCTCCAGCAGCGCCCGGAGCTGCTCCTCCTCCCGCCGGGCGGCCACGCGCTCCCCGGCCAGCTCCCCGCGCAGCAGGGCCACCTCCACCTCCATCTGCGGAGAGAACGCAGGGCTGGGCCTTGGACCCCCGAGGAGGAAAGGCCCGGGGGGCTCCCCGTGGGTCTGCAGCTTCACCTCGATCCTCAGCTCCTTCCTCTGGCGCTGCAGCTCCTTCACCCGCTGCTCCATCAGGGCCACGCGGGTCAGGGCCTCCAGCTGCTGCCCGCGGAGCCGCTGCGCCGCCCCTCGCACCCCCTCCTTAGCCTGGGGGGGCGTGGGGGGCATGGCTGGCATCTGCTCCGGAGGCGGGGCCTCCCCCTGAGACAGCAGAGGGTGGGGTCACGTGGGGAGCCCTGGGCCCAGGAGTCATTCAATGGGTGTATTCCCCACCTCACACCCCTCAGGGGTCTGTGGCCTAAGGCAGCCACCACGCTTTTATTCCAGGGAGGGTGTGGGTCCCAAGACCCCCGGGCCCCAGGAAGAGGCCCCAGGGTCCCCCCACAGTCCCGGAAAGGGCAGGAGCCAAGTCAAGAAAGATGTTTTTCGCCGGGACCGGTTTGGCTCAATGGATAGAGCATCGGTTTGGGGACTGAAAGGTCCTGGGTTCGATTCCGGTCAAGGGCATGTACCTTGGTTGTGGGCATATCCCCAGTAGGGGGTGTGCAAAAGGCAGCTGATCGATGACTCTCTCACATCGATGTTTCTAACTCTCTATCTCTCTTCCTTCCTCTCTGTACAAAATCAATAAAATAAAAATAAAATTAAAAAAAAAAGAAGAAGAAAAAAGAAAGATGTTTTTCCCTAACCAGGTCCTATTCTCTGGGTGTCCAGCCTGGGTATCTCTTTCTCCCCGAGTACCCCCCCCCCCACACACACACACCCATTTCTCTGGGCTTCCCCTCTCCCGATCAGTGTCCATCTCTTCCGGGAGTATCTCCCTCTCTCAAGGTTTCTCTGTCTCTGTTTTTGTTTCTCTGGGCATCTCTGCCCTGTTTCTGGGTTCCTGTCTTTACACCCATGTCTCCGAGTCTAGGTCTCTGGGTCTCTCTCTCTCTCTCTCTCTCTCTCTCTCTCTCTCTGGCCTGCCTGCCAGTGTCTCTGACTCTTTGGGATCCCTGTCTCTCAGTCTCCCCGTCCCTGCGTCTCTGTCCATCTGGTCTCTGCACACAGGTCTGTAGGGGTCCGTCTGAGTCTCTCTGGGGTTTCCTATCTCTGGGGCTCTCGCTGTCTCCGATCTCTGTCCATCTGGTCCGTCTCCCCATACCGGCCTCTGGCGGCCGCTGTCACCTGCCGGGCGCCCCGGGTCCCGCCCGCCGGCCCCTCACCGCGTCCCGGCTGCTCTCCGTGCTGCTGCCTTCTCCCACTTCTTCCTCTTCCTCCGCCTGCTGCTCGGCTCCGCGGCCGCTCGGAAGCTCCGCCAGGACCTCGGGAGCCTCCGGCGGGCGGGGGCCCTTGGGGCGCTCCCGGGGCTGGGGCACGCCCAGCGGCTGAACCTTCCCATCGTGATCGGGGGCCGGCGGCGGCGGGGTCCCTTCCCTGGGGCTGCCCGGCGTCCCCATGGCCCTGGCGCTGCGGGAGGGGGCGGGGCCCGGCGTTCGGGGGCGGGGCTTGGGCCGTGGGGGTGTGGCTCAAAGTTAGGGGCGGGGCCTGGCGCTGCGGGAGAGGCGGGGCTTGGCGCCGTGGGGCGGGGGCCGGCGTTCGGGGGCGGGGCCGGCGTTCGGGGGCGGGGCCTGGCGCCGTGGGGGCGGAGCCCAGGAGCTCCAAACAGGCGAGACCTAAGGATCAAAGGATGCGACTGAGCATTCCGGGAGCGTGGCTGGGAGTTTTAAGAGGCGGGATTCGCGGGCTCCTGGGGCGCCACGCCCCCGGAGGCGACATTGAAATTTGAGTCCGGGTCCTAGCTCGCCCCCAATAGGTTTCTCCCCTCTATCAGGTGTGGCGCCTTGCACCCTCGCAGCAGACACACACACACACACACACACACACACACACCCCGCCCCCAGCCCTGGACAGCCTTACAGCGACCCCATCTCCTCCTCCCGCGGGGCCCCGGGAGTCCGGGCTCCGGTGCCCAGCTCCCCGGAACCTCGTCCACCCGGCTCTGCCCCAGCGAAGAGAGTGGCGCCCGTGCCATCTCCTGCAGGGACCCGGGAGCCGGGGCTCCCAGCCTCCCCCTCTCTAGACAGCCAGGAGTCTGAGTCCTCAGCTCCTCCGGGGAGATGGATGCCCGAACCCCAGCCTCCTCCGCCCCGCAGACCCAGGAAGCCACGTCTCCAGCCCCCGCTGCCCGGCCACCCCGACCCCCTCACCCTCACCCTCACCCGCTGGGGACCCGGCGCTCCCCTCCGCTCTCCGGGCGCTGCTGCTGCTGCCTGAGGAACAGGTGGCTGGACGAGGGAGGAGAGGCTGCTGCCTCCCTCCCCGGAAGTGGGGGGGGGGGCACAACAGGTCCAACAGCTCCTGAGGGAGGAGGGAGCGACCAGCTGGCCCCGCCCGCAGCCCCGCATCCGGGCGTCCCGGCTCCGCCCATGGAAAACCCAGCATCGTGACACCTCCCCGCCACCCACCCCCCCCCAGCCTGCCTCCAGCGCCCCCACTCCTGCCCCTGGAGGGCCAGGTGTCGTGCTCGCATTTGTATAAATGCCTCCCTAAGGCCCAGGCCCTGGGAATCCTGGAAGGAAGAAGGGAATGCGGATAGGGGCCTCTCCCCGCTAATGAGCCATTTAGAAGGGCCCTGACCGGTTTGGGGAGCTGAGCAAGGGTAGGGGGTGCCCTGATCTGAGTCAGAGACCCGCCCAGAAACAGGGGGAAATGTGCACCCTCCCTCCCCCCCGCCCCCCACTTTGCTGTGGTGCGGAGGGTGGAAGAGAGAGGTTAAAGGTGCCTGGGCCAGACCCTTTCCTCCCTGGGCAAAAACAGGAAAACTGGTGTGTGAGAAAGTGTGACTGGATGTCAGGAGCTGAGCTAACGCTTCACACACACGTTATGTTCATTTTTTTAAAAAAATCATTTTATTGATTTTTTACAGAGAGGAAGGGAGAGAGACAGAGAGCCAGAAACATTGATGAGAGAAAAACATCGACCAGCTGCCTCCTGAACACCCCCCACCGGGGATGTGCCCACAACCAAGGTACATGCCCTTGACCGGAATCGAACCTGGGATCCTTCAGTCTGCAGGCCGATGCTCTATCCACTAAGCCAAACCGGTTTGGGCTGTCTCCACTTTATAGTGGGGAACCTGAGGCTGCCAGGCACAAGTGGACCCAAAGTCTATCGACGTGGTTAATGTCAGCATCAGACAGGTTCTCTGGAAGGTCTGTGGTCTCGACCATCAGGCATACTGCCACTCCCAGCGGGAAGTGCCGGGAAGGTCATTCCACTGGACAGGGACAATAATAGTTCCCACGCATCCTCACCTCCCAAGATGCTATGCTGCATCTGTGATGGAAACTCCCGGGAGGCCCTGGTGGTGGGTGGGTGTCGCAGCTCTGGAGGCCGGGGCGTGGTGTCCGGGTGCTTTGGGGCCCAGGACAGATGGGTGGGTGTGGTTGGGGTGGGCATTCTATGGCTGCTGCCATCCATTGTGCTGGCAAACGTCCTATGGCTTCGTTTGAAAACCTTGACCTTAAGCCGAAACCGGTTTGGCTCAGTGGATAGAGTATCAGCCTGCGGACTGAAGGGTCCCAGGTTCGATTCTGATCAAGGGCACGTACCTTGGTTGGGGACACATCCCCGGTGGGGGGGGGGGGTGCAGGAGGCAGCTGGTCGATGTTCTCTCTCATTGATGTTTCTAGCTCTCTGTCCCTCTATCTTCCTCTCTGTAAAAAATCAATAAAATATATTAAAAAGAAAGAAAAAGAAAACCTTGACCTTAAAACAATTCCCCAGAGATTCGTCAGCTCAATTTCAAATGATTAAGAAATCTGCTCCATTCCACCTATCTATGCTAATAAAAGGGTAATACCCAGGTTGCATGGGGCAGGCAGGTGCACAGTTAGGAGCCAGTGGTCCTGGATTGTGAGAGGGATGTCTGACTACTGGTTTCCGCCTGGGATCAGGCCGAAACCAGCAGTCAGACATCCCCTGAGGGGTCCCAGATTGGAGAGGGTCCAGGATGGGCTGAGGACACACACACACACACACACACCGTGCACAAATTTCATGAACCGGGCCTCTAGTCGTTTATAACAGATGCTCATCCACTGCTTGTCACTAGAACACAGGAGTCAGCCTGTGTCCATCACACAGATCCATTTCCTGGGCACCTTAAATAACTGGGCACTTCAATTGCAGATGTCAACTTCTCATTGTGGCTCCTCTTGTCAAACTTATTTCTAAGTCTAACATCAACTATTGTTCTGTATCCCATACCTTACAGTGCAAACATTTTCACACACACACACACACACACCAAAATCTTAATCTTCCTTTAAAAGAAAATAGTGGTTAACACTTTGCCAAGTACCTCACACATATGGACTCATTTTACAGATGAGAAAGTTGAGGCCTTATCCTGGGTCTCACAGAGGGAAGGGGCTCAGGCTCAGCATGGTGTTCTCACCCAAGGAGCGAGGAGCCCTGCCTTGGGAGTTAGGACATCTCCTTCCTGGGCTCTCTGACCCCGCCCCGCCCTGCTCTCTGGCCCCTCCGGGGACCAGAACTAACCTCCCTCCAAGCACCTCCACCCAGAGCCCAAATGGTTCCCCCAGAAAACAGACAGAAGTCAGATTCACAGCAAAAATATATCTTTTTTTATTTTTTTATTGAGGGCAGGTGAGGAGGAGAAGAGGAGAGAGGCCGGGTGCTGGCACCTCCCCCTCCCCCATCTAGTGCATTTTTAATGGCAATGAGCACCTGACAGAGACACCGTCAGGAAGGGGGGGTCTGGACCCCACAGCGCATGTTAGCTGGCACAGCAATGTCTGAAAGGAAGAAACCAAGGGTGAGACCAAGGGGCCCCAGGAGGAGCCCTCCCCTCAAGCTTAAATGGGGCCCAGAAATCCTAAGGGCCCTCTTTGGAAAACTGGAGTTCAGGCCCTGAGCTCCTCCTCCCTCTGACCCTGAAATCCAGGCCCCAGCCCCTCCTCCCTCAGACCCTGTAATCCAGGCCCCAACCCCTCCTCCCTCAGACCCAGGAGTCTCAGCCCCCAGCCCCTCCTCCCTCTGACCCTGAAATCCAGGCCCCGAGCTCCTCCTCCCTGACCCAGGGGTCCAGGCCCCCAGCCCCTCCTCCCTCTGACCCAGGAGTCTAGGTCCCCACCCTCCTCCCTCTGACTCAAGTGTCCAGGTTCCCAACTGCTCACCTATCTGCTTAGGCTTGGGCAAGTTCAGGTTGTCCATGACCTTGACAAACTCCTCACAGCTGAGGGTGAGCCGAGGGTTCAAAGTCCGCTCCTCCTCCACAGTGGACACTGTGAGCCCTAGTGGCCAAGAGAGGGAGAGCAATGCCCATCCTTTGGTGCCTCAGGCCTCTCAGGACTACATTTCCCAGGAGGCTCTGGGGTATCTCTCTGGCCTGGTATGTTCCTGAAATTGCTACCCCTCCTCCACATGCAATATGGGAAATGTAGTTTCTCACAGTTCCCAAGGCTCTAGAAAGAGGTCCCAGGAAAACCCATGCGCCCCAGGAATTCTAGGACTTGTGGTTTCTCCATCCACACTCAGTGCACATAAGCACATGACCGGTCTTTGGCCGGAGGAATCTCTGGGAACTGTAGTCCCCTGACCCAGCATTGTCGTCCCATGCTCCCTGTCAAACAGTAGTAAATTGTGTAGGTCCCACACCTCCTCCAGGAAGCCCTCACCATGGTAATCGTGGGCAGGGTAGATCAGACAGTCCCCTGGGAGCGTGAAGATCTTTTCATGGACTGAGTGGTACAAGGTCTTGGCACAGCCTGGGGAGGGAAAGCTCAGAGGTCAGTGGATCAAGAGGACAAGAAAGAGCTGAAACCGGTTTGGCTCAATGGATAGAGCGTCGGCTTGGGGACTGAAGGGTCCTGGTTTCGATTCCGGTCAAGGGCATGTACCTTGGTTGCGGGCACATCCCCAGTAGGAGGTGTGCAAGAGGCAGCTGATGGATGACTCTCTCTCATTGATGTTTCTAACTCTGTATCTCTCTCCCTTCCTCTCAGTACAAAATCAATAAAATATATTTTTAAAAAAATAAGAGGACAAAAAAGAGAGGCCCCTTAACCCCTTCCCTCAAGGAAAGGGGGGGAGGTAGCTAAAATCTCATTTCCTGCCAGGACCCCTTTACTGAGGTAGAGAAGGAGAGGGAAGGGTATTCTAGGCGGTGGAGCAGCATGAACAAGTAACGGGGGAATGGTGACAGATCCAGCCTGGCTGCAGGTAAGGTTGGGATGAATCCTGAAGCACCAAGCGACCGGACCTCACTCGGGATGACAGGAAGTGGTGTGGGCGGGAAGATGGAAGACGCTGAAGGTGTGAGGCGGGGGAGGAGAATGGCGCCCCGGTTCCCACACGAGCCTTGCGTCCTCGGCGGGGGCCTCTCTGGAATGTTCTTCCACCTTTCATCTCAGCCTAAATCCTCCCGTTCCGTGACTGCTTTGGGAGTGGGTGAAGAGCATAGGAGTGCTAGCTGGTTTTGCTCAGTGGATAGAGCGTTGGCCTTCGGACTAAAGGGTTCCAGTTTCAATTCCCGCCAAGGGCACATGCCCAGGTTGTGGGTTCTATCCCCAGTGTGGGGCATGCAGGAGGCAGCCGATCAATGATTCTATCTCATCAGTGATGTTTCTATCTCTCTCCTCTCCCTCTCCCTTTCTCTCTGAAACAAATAAAAGTATATTTAAATATATATAAAGAGAGAATAGGAGTCTTGGAGAGAAAAAGACAGAGACAGAGATGAAAGGAAAAGGAGAGAGGGGAGAGGAAAAAAGTTACCCACTGCCAGCTCAAACATCCAGTGTCGCCCTCCTCCCAAAAGGCAGCTAAATCCACCCAATCTTCTGTCAACCCCACATTCGCGCACACATACGCGCGCGCACACACACGCACACTCCAAAGACCAGCCAAACCCTGAGATTCTGAAACCCCCTTTCCACAGTGAATCTCTTGAATCTAAGTTCCCCCAAAAGCCAAACCCGAATCTGACATGGCCCCCAAGCAACCAGAGCACTGACTACCAGTTTCCTAGCAGCTACACTCCGGAATCAAACCCCGCAGGCCCCCACCCACCACACCTCCGGCAGCTAAACCCCTTATGGGGTTTTTAAATATGTGCACAAACTCTTTGACACACTAAAAAAAAAAAAATGTAACATGAATTCCCTTCACCTTGATTTAGTAGTTTGGATAAGGGACTTGCATCTCATAAATAAGTTATTGCAGATATGACAGAGTTAACTTAGGTAACTAGGTCATTTAAAAAAACAAAACAAAAAACTAGGGCCTCTCTCTCTCACGTCATCCCTTTAGGGAGAATCGGGCTGTCAGGTTGCTGTGACAATACTTAGCCCCACAAAGAGGTCCACTCGGGGAGGAACTGAGGACGCCGGCCCAGAGCCAGGGCCAGCTGGCCAGCTACCTGAGTGAGCCTCATGGAAGCAGATCCTCCAGCCCCAGGCGAGCCTTCAGATGACTGCAGCTCAGGCCCATAGCTTGACTGCAACCCTCACGGGAGATCCTGAGCCAAAACCACCCAGCTAGGCTGCCCCAGAGTCCACCCTCTCAGACACTCTGAGATAATGAATGTTAATGATTGTTTTACTCCACTCTGGAGTAATTTCTTCCACAGCAATAGATCATTAACACACCCCTGAATCTAACTGTCCCCTCACAGCTAAAACCCTCAACCTAACTGTTCTCTCATCAGCTAATCTCTGAATCTAACTCTCCCCCTCCACTTCAGCAGCTAAATGCCTTGAGTTTAACCCTGAGTCCTTAAGATTTTAACATTCCTGCTGAAACTGGTTTGGCTCAGTAGATAGAGTGTCAGGTTCGATTCCGGTCAAGGGCATGTGCATTGGTTGAGGGCACATCCCCGATGGGGGGTGTGCAGGAGGCAGCTGGTCGATGTTTCTCTCTCATCAATGTTTCTAGCTCTCTCTCCCTTCCTCTCTGTAAAAAAATCAATAAAATATATATATTTTTTTAAAAAGAGTGAAATTCTCTAAAAAAGAAAAAAAAAAGAGTGTTACACTCCTTCATTCATTCTTCGGACACGTAAAAGCCTGGCACACACACGCCACAGAAGACTCAGGCTGAGGGAAGGCCGGGACCTTGCTGGAAGTCCGTCCGCCCACAGCCTCGGATGAGCAGGGCATCTCCGGTGAAGGCCATGCTGTGGTCATCCAGGACGAAGGTGACACAGCCCGGGGTGTGGCCGGGGCTGGCCCGGATCTCCAGGGCCTGCCGGGAGGGAAAGGACAGACAGTCACCCAGAAGCCAGTGGTCTGCCCTCACAGCGAAACTGACCCCCGGAGCCCCCGCCCCACCCCAGGGTCACTCAGGATTACCTATCTGGTAAAAAAATTAAGTTAGATTTCCAGGCTCAAACCTCACACCAGCATAAACTCCAAATGAATTAAAGGCGAGAAAATAAACCATAAAATTGTGACAGCCACAAAAGTACAAATGAATACATGACCTCTGGTCAGAGAAGAACACGAAAATCTGATCCCTAAAGTCATACATCATATGGACAAGAACAGTGGTTTGACTTAAATCAATCTGAAGTCTTGCAATGTCAAAAACTCCAGCCACAACATGTAAAGGGAACAAGCAAGCTGGGGACTGCATCTGCAACACACATACCACGTGGTCAGTATATTTCATACACAAACAGGTCTTGCAAATCAATAAAGAAAAGATAAACATACCAATATAAATATAGAATACTAACAAGTCATTAAAATTATCATTAAAATTTAATGATCATATACACAAATATTTAATGTGGCGGCTGATCAATGTTTATCTCTTTCATCGATGTTTCTGACACTATCCCTCTCTCTTCCTCTCGGTAAAAAACAAAACAAAACAAAACAAAACAAAAAACCCACAATATAATATATATATTTTTAAAAAGAATCCTGAATGCAGGGAAGCAATTGTCAGGGAAAAAAATATGTCCCTAATGATCTAACTTCTGAAACTACTTCCATCAGCTAATCCACTCTTAAAGGGGATCAGTGCAAGCCCGCAGGGCACTCACTTTGCAGTTCCTATGGCTCACACTGCCCCCTGGTGGCAAGTAAGCTCTTTTCCCTTGGTCTCCCTTGGTCTCCATCTCTTGCTCCATTCTTCAAGTATCTGATCTTGTTATAAACATGCGTTTTTTTCTATACCCTCTCTATTCAGAAACCCTAATTATCATTTCCCATTGTAGCTAAGTAGCTAAATACTCTGAGCCTCCATCAGCTAAACCTTTTGTAATTGATTTTTTTTAAATTTTGTTTTTAGAGGAAGGAAAGAAGAGAAAAAAGAATCAATGTGAGATAGATATATCGATTGGTTGCCTGTTGTACACATGCAGACCGGGGATCAAACCCACAACCTAGGTATGTGTCCTGACTAGGAATCGAACCCAAGACCTTCCAGTGCACAGGACAACATTCCAACCAACTGAGCCACACCAGCCAAGGCTAAACCTTTTTTGTGGAAACAAAATAATATGAAGTGATAGGTGGATAGAGGTGGAAGCTGTGAAATTTAACTTGTCTATATGCTTCAAAATTTTCATAAAATATCTGGGGATAGCCTAGCTGATTTGCTCAGTGGATAGAGCATCTGCCTGCAGACTGAAGGGTCCCAGTTTCGATTCCGGTCAAGGGCACAAGCCCGGGTGGCAGGCTTGATCCTCAGTAGGGAGCGTGCAGGGGGGGGCAGCCCATCCATGATTCTCTCTGATCATTGATATTTCTATCTCTCCCTTCCTCTCTGAAATTAATATAAATAAATAAATAAATAAATAAATAAATAAATAAATAAATAATAAAATTGCCGAAACCGGTTTGGCTCAATGGATAGAGCATCGGCTTGGGGACTGAAAGGTCCCGGGTTTGATTCCGGTCAAGGGCACATACCTTGGTTGCAGGCTCCTCCCCAGTTTGGGTCCTGGTCAAGGCTTGTGCAGGAGTCAACCAATCGATGTTTCTCTCATATCAATGTTTCTATCATTCCCTCTCTCTAAAAAGCAATGGAAAAATGTCCTGGGATGTGAGGAAATAAATAAATGGGGAGGAGGGGCATGGATAGCCTTAGCCGGCCTCGCTCAGTGGATACAGCATCGGCCCTCGGAATGAAGGGTCTTGGGTTCTATTCCAGTCAAGAGCACATATCTCATCCTGACCCCAGTCAGGGTACATACAAGAGGCAACCAAGCAATGTATCTCTCTCACATCGATGTTTCTCTCCTTCTCTCCCTCTCTCTCTTTCTCTCTCTCCGTCTCTTCTCCACCCTTCCATTCTAACAACCAATGGGAAAAAAATATTGCTCAGTGAGGATTAACGACAACAACAAACGTGGGTGAAGAAATAAGGGAGAGAGAAAAATTGTGCCCATCCCTAAAGGTGTACAAAGAACTTGGATGAAACCCAATAACAAAATGCTCAGTATCATAATGACATATAATGACAGGTGTTGCCCTGACTGGTTTGCCTCCGTGGATAGAGCTTAGCCTTATGGACTGAGGGGTCCCAGGTTCGATTCCGGTCAAGGACATGTACCTTGGTTGCGGGCACATCCCCAGTGGGAGGTGTGCAGGAGGCAGCTGATCAATGTGTCTAACTCTCTATCCCTCTCCCTTCCTCTCTGTAAAAAAAAAAAAAAAAAATCAATAAAATATATTTTTAAATAAATAACAGGTGTTGACAAGGATGTGGAGGAACGGGAACCCTCATCCACTGCTGGTGGGAACATACAATGGTGCAGCCATTTTGGGTAACAGTCTGGCATTTCCTCAAACTGTTAAATGTAGTGTTAGCATATGATCCAGCAATTTCATCCCAGGTATATACGCAAAGAAAATGGAAGCACACGTCCACACAAAAACTTGTACATGGTTATTCATAGCAGCACTATTCAAAATAGCCAAAAAGCCGAAGCCGGTCTGGCTCAGTGGTGGAGCGTCGGTCTGCGGACTGAAAGGTCCCAGGTTCCATTCCGGTCAAGGGCATGTACCTTGGTTGCGGGCACATCTCCCATAGGGGGTGTGCAAGAGGCAGCTGGTCAACGTTTCTCTCTCATCGACATTTCTAGCTCTCTATCTCTCTCCCTTCCTCTCTGTAAAAAAATCAATAAAATATAGATTTAAGCCAAAACCGGTTTGGCTCAATGGATAGAGCTTCGGCTTGGGGACTGAAAGGTCCCGGGTTCGATTCCGGTCAAGGGCATGTACCTTGGTTGCGGGCACATCCCCAGTAGGGGGTGTGCAAGAGGCAGCTGATCGATGACTCTCTCATGGATGTTTCTGACTATCTCTCTCTCTTCCTCTCTGTACAAAATCAATAAAAATATATTTGGAAAAAAAAAAAAATATATATATATATATATATTTAAATAAATAAATAAATAAATAAATAAATAAATAAATAATAAAAGTGTAAAACATTACTAAACATAAAATTTATTAAAAAAAATAGCCAAAAATATAGAAACAACTCAATGTCTATTGACTAATAAATTGATGTATAAAATGTAGTATAACCAAACAATGGAATATTTGTTTGTAACAATAAAATATTTATTGGTAACAATAAAAAAAAAGCCATATGCCTTAGCTGGTTTGGCTAAAAGGATAGCGCATCGGCCTATGGATTTAAGGGTCCCGGGTTCAATTCTGGTCAAGGGCACATGCCCGGGATGTGGGCTCGATCCCCAATAGGGGGTGTGCAGGAGGCAGCTGATCAATGATTCTCTCTCATCATTGATGTTTCTCTCTCTCCCTCTCCTTTCCTCTCTGAAATTAATAAAGTTATATTTTTTAAAAAGAAGAAGAAGCCCTAGCTGGTTTCGCTCAATGGATAGAGCATTGGCCTGTGAACTGAAGGGTCCCAGGTTTGATTCTGGCCAAGGGCATGTACCCAGATGGCAGGCTCAACCTGGTAAGGGTGGATGCAGGAGGCACCAATCGATATGTCTCTCTTACATCGATGTTTCTCTCTGTGTGTCTTCCCCCCTTCCTCCCACTCTCCAAAAATCAATGGAAAAACATTGATTTTCAAGAGGTGAAGATTAACAAAAAAAGAAAAAAGGAAAGAAAAGGGAAGGGAAGGGAAGAGAAGGGAAGGGAAGAGAAAGGAAGGCAAGGGGGCCTGGCTGATGTGACTGAGTTGGTTGGAGCATCATTCTGTGCACCAAAAGGTTGCAGGTTCCATTCCTGGTCAAGGCAGGTATGGAAGGCAACAAGTTAACGTTCTCTTTCACATCAATGTTTCTTTCTCTCTCTCTCTTTCAAAACCAACAATGATATCCTCAAATGAGAATTAAAAAAGAAGAAGAAATGAAACACTGATATATGCTACAACATGTTTTTTGTCTGTCTGTTTGTTAATCCTCATCCGAGGACATGCTTTTATTGATTTTTAGAGGAAAAGGGAGAGGGGGAGAGAAAGTGAGAAAATCGATCTGCTGCCTCCTGTACATGCCCCTATCTGAGATCAAACTCAAAACCTGGGCATTGCCCTGACCTGGAATCCAGACCAGGACCGTTTCGGTGCACACGGAGGACTCAACCAGCTGAACCGCCTGCCAGGGCTCTGCTACAACATACGAACCTTAAAATCATTATGATCAGCGACAGAAGCCAGTCACCTAAGGCCACAGAGTGTCTGATTCCATTTCTATAGGCAGAAAGCAGATGAATGGCTGCTTAAGGCTGCAGGGATGAGAGGAGGGAGGGGCTCAGATGACAGCTAAGGTTACGGGGTTTCTTTTTTGAATGATGAAAAAATACTCAAAAATTAATTGCGGTGACATTTGCATCACTCTGCGATTATACTAAGTCATTGAATTGTACACTTTTAATGGTTGAGTCTGATGATTCATGAATTAAGTCAACAAAGCTACTTAAAACGCTGAAGCTAAATCTACCTGGCTAAACCCGTCAGCCTCATCACTGAAACCATCACTCGTTCCATTTAACAGCGGGCTGATCTTGACACAAAACCGGACCATTTCTCGCTCTTCTGAGGCTTCTCGGCCCAAGAGATGTGTTTGGGCACCTGGCTCCTGGGTGCAGTGGCCATAAACGTTCCATGCGTTCTGTTTCCCGGCTTTCAGAAAGGCTCGCAATGAAGAGGCTGTAACCATTACAGCCAAGTCTTCTGATCCCACACACAGCCCTCGTTTCTGCTTAATGCTCTGACTCAAACTCTCTCCGCTGAGCCAAATCCTCTCATCTGGAGACTGATTTCTCACCCTGTCACCAGACATTCTGTCTCCAGGGTCAGCCAAATTCTCTATATCTCAGAACGAAAAAAGCACTGCCAGTTCTCTGGGGACAACTCCCCCAGCGCCCTCCCGCCCTCCACCTTAACCCAGGGCTGCCATTCTGGCCAGAAACCTGGCTGTGCTGAAGGAAGGAGATCATTCCGGTGTGAAGCAATAGCAGGGCTGGGGCCAGGGTGAACAGACGGTGCCTGGGGTGCAACATTCAAGAAGGAAGTTCACCCAAAGGTGCTGACTCTTTTTTTTTTTTTTTTAAATCATTAATTTGAGAGTGAGAGACAGAGAGTAAGAGAGAGAGAAACATCGATTTGTTGTTCCACTTACTGATCCATTCATTGATTCTTTTTAATATATATATATATATATATATATATATATATATATATATTATGGATTTTTGTACAGAGAGGAAGGAAGAGGGATAAGAGTTAGAAATATCCATGAGAGGAGAGGATCCAAGGTGGCTGCACAGGTAAACACCTAACCGCAGCCGCACTCAACAATTTCAATAAAATACAACTAAAATATAAAATGAACATTACCCAGAACTACAGGAAAGTCGACTGACTGGAAATTCTACAACGAGAAGCAAGGAGGAAACCAGAAGGAAGAACGGAGGAGCTGGAAAAGCCTGAGGTACGGAGACACGCGGCACGCGGAGAGGACGGAGCCGGAGAGGAGGGAGGCTGAGTGCCTAGCTGGCGTTCCCTAGCAGGAAGGAGACAAAAGCTCCGAACTGTGCTGAGCCCCAGTTCCAACTGCTCTAAACCCCAGTTCTAGGCCAGACCCCGGGGACCCAGAGGGAGACTGGGCTGTAAGGCAGAAACCCAGGGGAGTGGCGAAAGGCAGAGCCCCCGGAGACGCACACATTGCACGCAGAGAAGGGACGGTTGGCTATGCCGTGGGATTGCCCTGGCGGGAAGGAGACAAAAGCTCCAGACTGCTCTGAACCCCACTTCCAACTGAACTGAACCCCAGTTCCGGGCTCATTGGGGGAGAGACTAGACTGTTTGGTAGCAGGCGAAACTCGAGGGCACCTCACTCTCAGAGGTGCTTGCAGCGAGTACCGAAGGACCCTGAGAAACACTGAGACTCAGGAGCCGCATAGAACATGGCTGATAGAAGCCAAGGCTGTAGGCTCCACCCTGAAACTCTGCCCCATCCAGGCAGAACACAGAGACTTTTAAGGCTACCAACTCAGGGAAGCTGCGAAAATGCCGAGACAAGGAAATAGATCACAAACGGAAAAAAATGAAGGATAAAAAGCGACTGGATATAGAGTTCAAAACCACACTTATAAGGTTGTTCAAGAATCTCCTAGAAAAGGCCGATAAAATAAACGAGACCTATGAGGATATGAAAAGGGATCAACTAGAAATAATAAGGGATAAACAAGAAATAAAGAATACATTGTCTGAAATAAAAAATATTATACAGAGTTCTAAAAACAGAATGGAAGATCGCAAGAATCAAGTCAAAGATTTGGACATAAAGAGCCAGAAGACACTCCTCTGCAGAAGCAAGAAGGCAAGAGAATCCAGAAAGTTGAAGATGATGTAAGAAACCTCTGGGACAACTTCAAGCGAACCAACATCAGAATTATGGGGGTCCCAGAAGATGAGAGAGAGCAAGATATCGAAAACATATTGAAAGAAATAGTGACAGAAAACTTCCCCCACCTGGGGAAAGAATTGGACTTACAAGTCCAGGAAGCACACAGAACTTCAAACAAAAGGAATCCAAAGAGGACCACACCAAGACACATCATAATTAAAATTCCAAGAGCAAAAGACAAAGAGAGAATATTAAAAGCAGCAAGAGCAAAGAAGGTAGTTACCTATAAAGGAGCACCCATACGATTGTCAGCTGATTTCTCAACAGAAATCATGCAGGCCAGACGGGAATGGCAAGAAATATTCAAGATGATGAATAGTAAGAACCTACAGCCAAAGATAATCTACCCAGCAAAGCTATCACTCAGAATTGAAGGCCAGATAAAGAGCTTCACCAATAAAAAAAAAAGCTAAAGGAGTTCATCACCACCAAACCAGAATTATATGAATTGCTGAAGGGGGTTCTTTCGGAAGAGAAAGTAAATAAAGATAAAAATTATGAACAACAAATACGTAACTATCAACAAGTAAATCTAAAAACCAAAAAAAAAAAATTTTTCTTTTTAAATCTGATGAACAATATTAACTGTTGAATATAATAGAATCAGAGGTATGGAAGGGGAGTGAACTGATGATTCTCGGGGAAAAGGGGAGATAGGGGTGTGGGAAGAGACTGAACATAAACTGAACATAAACTGTGCACCTATGGATGAGGACAATGATGAGTGGGGAAAGGGCAGAGGGAGGGGTGGGAACCTGGTGGAGGGGAGCAACGGAGGGGGGGGGGAGAGGAACATCTATAATATGAACAATAAAGATTTATTAAAAAATAATAATAAACTCAGTTTATTTAAGTTTATTTAAGAAGGTGCTAAGAGAGAAACATGGATCAGCTACCTCCTGCACACTCTCTACTGGGGATGTACCCTTGACCGGAATCAAACCTTTCAGTCGGCAGGCTGATGCTCTATCCATTGATTGAGCCAAACCGGTTTCGGCGGCTAATTGATTCTTGTATGTGCCCTGACCTGGGACTGAACCGTGGTGTATGGAGAGGATGTTCTCACCCACTGAGCTAGCCTGCCAGGGCCCAAGGTGCTGACTGTGACAGTTAGGCCTCCTTAACCGGTGCGCCCTAGGCCCTCGCTGGCCTCACCCTAGTCCTGAGCAACAGGATGTTACCTGCTCCAACGGTGGCTCTCAGAAGCCAGGGTTGGGCTCTCCCTCAGCCTTGGCCTTGGCATTCCAGCCCCCAATCAACGTTCATGGAGATACCAGGCCAAGGGAGCTGCCCCAGAGCTGTAGGCAACTCCCTAGTGCTGTTGACTTACAGGGCTGGGCCAGAGGCACACTCCCCGGGGCCAGGAGCCCGTCTGCTCCCAGAGGTGCAACTCCGGGGTCAGGAACCCAGGCACCTGCAGCCCAGGAAGCCCAGGCCACCACCCTCTCTCGGACCCGGGCCTCCAACTCACGAAGCATCCCACTCACGAAGCGCCCGAAGCGGATGGTCTGTCCGTCCTCGATGTGCAGGTCGGCCTGGGCGCCGCTGCGGCGGGAGATGACGGACCGGCAGCCGGGGAGCAGGGTGCGCAGCAGCCCAGAGCCCGTGATGTGGTCGGCGTGGCAGTGGGTGTTCACTGGAGGGAAACACAGGGACAGGTCCAGGGGGGCCCGGGGCAGGGAGCCCAGCAGCCCCCGCCCCGGCCCGGGGCGTCCGGCGGACTGACCGGCGAACAGCAGCCGCAGCCCCAGCTCCTGCACCAGCTTGGCGTCCCGGGGCGCCGTCTCCAGCACCGGGTCGATGAGGACGGCCTCGCGGGCCTCGCGGTCGCCCAGGAGGTACGTGTAGGTGCAGCTCTTGGGCTCGAACAGCTGGGAAGGGGCAGGGGCCGGTGAGAGCGCCGAGCAGACCCGCCGCCCGCGAGCCCGGGAGCCCGGGAGCCCGGCCTGGACGCGCCCCCCCACCTCCCCGGAAGGTCCAGAAGCAGAACCCCGGCCCCGGAGGCAGGCGCCGACAGCCCGCCTCCCAGGAAGTCCCCGCCCGCCCCGTGAAGACCCGGGAACCGGCCCGAGCCCGGGGCGCCCGGTCCCCCAGTCCCTCCCGGTTCACAGCGCCGGGACCTCGGCCCCGGCGGCCGCCCGGCCCGGCCCGGCCCGGCTCACCTGGCGCAGCAGCACCGGCGCCCTCGCCCCGCGCTGCTGGCTCAGCTGCCGCCCCGCGGTCCTCAGCGCCGCCCCCGCCATCGCGCCGGCCGAGGGACTCTGAGCCAGGCGGCGCCCTTGGAGCCGGGGCACCTCCGGGCCCCGGGGGCGGGCGAGCGCCTTAAAAGGGCCGCGCGTGGGGGGCGGGGCGGGGGCGGGGCGGGCGGGCCTCACAGGAGCCGCGCGTGGAGGGCGGGGCGGGCCTCACAGGGGCCGCGCGTGGAGGGCGGGGCGGGCTCGGGGCGGGCGGGCCTTAAAGGGGCCGCGGGTGCAGGAGGCGGAGCGGGCCTTACAGGGGCCGCGCGTGGAGGGCGGGGCGGGCGGGCCTTAAAGGGGCCGCGGGCGCAGGGGGCGGGGGCGGGCACTGCGGGCCGGGAGACCTCGTGGGCCCCGCAGGGTCGGGCTGGGGCTGCGAGGGGACCTCAGAGACCCCGCTGACCGAGAAAACGGGGGAAACCGGGGACACTCGGCGAGGGAGAGACGCAGAGAGAAGCAGACCGGGGAGAGGGGAAACCCACTCGGGGGCCCCGGTGCGCTCCCAGCCCCGGGCCGCCTTGTAGGAAAGGAGGGTCGGAGGGAGGTGGGGGGGCGGGGAGTTTGGTTCCAGGTCACGTAGGGTGCGTGACTCCCAGAACACTTGATCCCATTAAAGTTTTAATGTTTTTAATTGATGATTTGAGAAACAGGAAGGGAATGAGCGGGGGGGGGGGGGGGGAGATTTGTGCATTCATTGGTTGAATCTTGTATGTGCCCTGAGGGGGGGCGGGGGTTGAACCTGCCCTTGGCTACTGAGCTACCAGGCCAGGGTCTAAAGTTTATTTAAGAAGTGCTAAGAAAAATAAATAAATAGAACGAAAGAAAATAACATTGCTTAGTATTTCTTCGGGACGTTTATTTCTTCCCAGGATGAAGTCGTTTATAAAAAAAGAATTTTGCATTATATCTTGCAAAATCAAGATATCCTGGGGTCATTTGGCTTTTGTTGGGATGCCAACCCCTGACAAGGGGCTTTTGTTCCTTTGCCCCAAGGACTTGGATGTGAGAGGCTGTGTTGTGTAGCGGATTCGGTCAGAAAGTTTGCTCTTTGGAATCGCACCAGCAGCGAGAACAGGGCGTCCCACTCTGCCCGGAGGGTCTAAGTTGCTTTGGCTCAGCGGAGCCGCCTGACTTCCAGGCAGAGGCGCGGCTCCCGCGGAAGGATTTCTAGCAACTCCAGTTGAGCCTTGAACAACAGAGGTTTGGATTCCACTTCGACGAGAATTTTTCTCCGTAAATATATTAGAAATTTTTCTGGAGATTGCGATAATTTTTTTTTAAATTCACAAACTATGAAAAAGGTTAAGAAAATGTTAGGGGTGTCAGAATGCATAAAATTCTGTATATATTTTCCTTATGACTTTTTAAAAAATATTTTTAATGATTTCAGCCGAAGCCGGTTTGGCTCAGTGGTAGAGCGTCGGTCTGTGGACTGAAAGGTCCCAGGTTCAATTTTGGTCAAGGGCATGTAACGTTGGTTGCGGGCACATCCCCCGTAGGGATGTTTCTCTCTCATCGATGTTTCTGGCTCTCTATCTCTCTCCCTTTCTCTCTGTATAAAATCAAATATATATATATTTTAAAAAGTACATGAAAACATAAACCAACTCGTGTCACTTTCTGTGTTTAAAACCCTTCCTTGGTTTCCCATTCAGCTTAGATTTCTTGCCAACTCTTTGGCCTAAAGTTCTTAATTTTCTCCATCATTTTACCTTATTACATTTTACCCTATTCTGGCTGTTGATTCTTTCAAACATTCATTTGACACGAATGTATTGAACACTTAATATGGGCTAAGTGCTGGGGGCAGAGAAATTAACCAGACGGACAAGTGGTCCGTCTTAACAGAGCATACATGCTAGAAGACGGGTGGGTATACAACGGTAAGTGCATACAGGGGACAAGACCACAGAGTGATGGCGGGAGGGGGCTCTGTGAGACAGGGTGGACAGGGAGGCCTTAGTAGCGATATTTGAACTGAGACCCGAAGGGGGAAGCAGCAAACAAGCTGACGGACAAAGGGCCTTGGAGACAGAGGGCGCAGCTGGTGCAAAGGCCCTGAGGTAGAACTGACTAATTTGTTGGGCTCTGCTCTACACACTTCCCATTGATTACTGAATTTAATCCCAACAACCTGGATTGCACAGATGAGGAAACGGAGGCCCAGGAAAAAGAAGTGACTTGCCCAGGGTCACACAGCTAGAAAGCGGCAGGGCCAAGATTCCAGGCCGTCTGGCTCCGGATCCCAAATCACCCCTCGGGGGAACTCCCTCCGCTCCCAGGGCTCGCAGACCTGGTGGCTGAAGAACCACCACGCAGGAGATTTCTGTGGGCACTTCCCGGGCACTCACTCCCGGGAGGTGAGGGGCGGAAGGATGCAAAGCACGCCGCTCCGGGAGTGGCCCCGGCGCTCCAGCCCCTGGGGAAACGCCGGCCTGGGCACCTCGCGGCCGCTGCCCTCCGTCACCCCCCTGGGTCCCGCCCCTGGAGTGGGCGTGGCGGGGGAAATCTTGAACCACCCAATGGCGAAGGGCGCCAGGGCGCTATGCAAATAAGGTGCCTTTTATTGGGCGTTAGCGCCGCCCCGCCCACCGTCCCGGGATCCGCACGGGCGGCGGGCCGTACAAACTGCAGCCGGAGGGGCCGCGGGCTCCCGGGGGAAATGCCCCAAGGAAGCGGGCGCAGGAAAGCCGAGGTGGCCGAAACCGGTTTGGCTCAGTGGTAGAGCGTCAGCCTGCGGACTGAAGGGTCCCGGGTTCGATCCCGGTCAAGGGCATGTACCTTGGTTGCGGGCACATCCCCGGTGGGGGGGGTGCAGGAGGCAGCAGATCGATGGTTCTCTCTCATTGATGTTTCTAACTCTCTGTCCCTCTCTCTTCCTCTCTGTAAAAAAAAATAAATAAAAATGTATAAGAAAGAAAAGGAAGGAAGGAAAGAAAAACCAAGGTGCCTGTGCTGGGCGCCAACCGTCTCAGGGTGGGCTAAGTGCAGCGTCTCCCCATTCGCACGTTCTTGACTCCCGTCAGCCGCTGTAGGCCCCCCGCAAACCTCTGTACCCCTTCCTGCCGGCCTCGGCCCGCAGCTCTGCGCCTGCTCACCAACCAGGCTGCCTGGCGCACCCACCCTCCTCCGGTTCTGTCTCCCCGGCCGCGACTGCGCCTGCGTACGGACGCCCCCACCGGCACCGCAGGGAGGAGGGGATGGCAATGAGGCAGGACCCCGCCGCTGTCGAGCGCGCCCTGCCCGGCCCTCCGGTCGCTGGGTGCACGGTCGCTGGGTGCACGGCGTGCGGCGCAGCTCCGTCGCATCTGAGGGCAGCGGGGCTGCGACCTGGGCCTGAGGGCAGCGGGGCTGCGACCTGCGAGCAGGGCCCGCCGTCCCGCCCCGGGGAGGTGCAGCCCGCAGGTGAGAGTGCCCGGGTCTGGGCCCAGAGGCTTGGGTCTTGGGGAAATGGGTGAGGTCGGTTGGGATGCTGATGCATAGGTTCCGGTGGGGCTGCCTCGGTGCCTGAGCCGTGAGAGGGTGTTCTGGTGTCCGGATGCCGTGACCCCGAGGCCCGGGCGCCACCTTCTCTCTCTGTCCCCCTCCAGGTTTCCTTCACCTCCACTCCGGGGATGACATTTAGCAGAGGGGAAGAAATTTAGCGGTCCTCGTGGCGTCAATGGACTGAGGCTAAGCCAAAAGGTAAAGACACCTCTTTGACCTGAAGTCCCGCCGGGGCTCTTGGGCCCCTCTCCTGGGAAAGTTGTGAGAGACACGCCCACTGAGTTCTTAGGCCCCGCCCCTTGGCCTGAGCTGCAGAGCAGCCGACTGGGGGTCCTATTTGCATAACGCCACCCATTCCGGACAGAGGCTCCGCCCCCTGCATCCAGGAGCGCTGAGTTCAAGCTACTCCGCTGGAAGGCTCCAGCCCTGGGGCTACGGCAAAGGGAATGCCTCTGCGTTCATTTGCATGGCCCCGCCCACTGTGCTTTTAGGCCCCGCCTTCTAGCAACTCCCAGCCTTGCTTAGGATCCCAGATTTAAATAGGACCAGGCTCCTTAAATAGGTTGGCCCCAGATTTTAGGCCCTCCAGCCCTAGCTCCATCAGCCTGATAACCCCCAGCGACGCCCCTCCGCCTCCTGAGCCCCCCTTTAGGTTTCTGGGCCAGCAAGATGCTGGAGCGAGACGCAGAGGCGGAGGCTGAGGCCACAGACACTCGTCCTGCAGGCCAGGAGCCAGTGACCAAAGGCGGAGGTGAGAGCGGCCCTGTGCGGGGGAGGCACTCTCCAGGAACGGGGCGAGGAGAATCTCATTTCGAGAATGTCTCAGGGTGAAAGTTTTCAGAGCCCAGGGTGATGACAGTTTGGGATCCCCTAAAATGTGACGTTCTGGGGAGTCCTGGGTTGGCTTTGCAGGGCCCTTAGTGATCATTTCTAGGACTCGGGAAATTACAGGAGGGGCAAGGAGGATGGCATGCAAGAATTCAGGGTGCTCTCTTGGGGAAATACTAAAAGCAGTTTGAGAAAGCCTTCGCTTTGGGGATGCAGATAGATAATGCTTTGGAACCGTTTAGGACGATGGGTGGCAGAGGCTGGAGAGCAGAAACATGCCATTTGAGGAATTTCAGGATGACCCTTGAGGTGCCCAGATACATTCACATATCAGCGTGGGGCGGGGGCAGGGGAGCCTGGACTAGATTTGGGGAATTGGCTGCAGCCAGGAGCCCACCAGCCCTCCTGTACCCCAGCTCGCCAGCAGGGTTCGTCCAAGAAGCCCCCCCAGTCGGCTCCGGGGCCTGCTGCGCCCACAGAGACGCCATCGCGACCCCGCCGCCGCCCCCCGCCCCAGCGCCCGCACCGGTGCCCCGACTGCAACAAGGCCTTCTCGTACCCGTCCAAGCTGGCCACGCACCGCTTGGCGCACGGTGGCGCCCGCCCCCACCCATGCCCCGACTGCCCCAAGGCCTTCTCCTACCCGTCCAAGCTGGCCGCCCACCGCCTCACGCACAGCGGCGCCCGCCCGCACCCGTGCCCGCACTGCCCGAAGGCCTTCGGCCACCGCTCCAAGCTGGCCGCCCACCTCTGGACGCACGCGCCCGCCCGCCCCTACCCGTGCCCGGACTGCCCCAAGTCCTTCTGCTACCCCTCCAAACTGGCTGCGCACCGACACACGCACCACGCCACCGAGGCCCGCCCCTACCCGTGTCCACACTGCCCCAAGGCCTTCTCGTTCCCCTCCAAACTGGCCGCCCACCGCCTGTGCCACGACCCCCCCACCGCGCCCAGCAGCCGGGCCACCGCCCGGCGACATCGCTGCTCCAGCTGCGGCCAGGCCTTCGGCCAGAGGCGCCTCCTGCTCCTTCACCAGCGCGGCCACCACCAGGCGGAGAGCCAGGGGGAGCGGGAGTGAGCCCTCCCCTCGGCTCACTGGCGCCCTCTGCCGCCAGCTCCAGTGAACACTGAGGGGGCAACTCTAAACCAGGCTTGCCTCTCCTAGCTGGCAGGAAGGTTGGCCCCTCCTCCGTGCTGGGCTCTAACCTAAAAGGTGGAGGAGCTCTTTGCTCACCCACTTTGGGGAAGGGGAGAGAATGTGTCAACCACAGAGAGTTAACCGGCCCCGAACCATGGACCCGGAGCTGTGGTGGGGAAGAACTGGCTCTGGTTTTCCCTGAACATTCACTTGGCAAAGGTACGAAGCCTGCTAGCACGGTGGGGTGGTGGGAGTGTGGGGAAACAGCCTCTCTCCTATTGTTGTACGTTTAAATTGGTGCTTCCATTTTGGCCGTTTGGCCATACCTATGAAATACTTAAATGCACACCTGCTCGTGTTAGCTATTCCACTTCTAAGAATGTATCCTTAGAATAAATAAACTCAAGCATGTGAACAAGGCCTAAGGACAAGGATGTTCCCTGCAGCCCAAAGATGGGCAACAACACGAGTGTTCATCAATCAAGACCAGCTAATTAATTACAGTACAGCCATAGAACGGTAGATGTCGCTGTAGGGGGGAGGAATCAGCTCAGTGTGTACCGATGCGGAAAGATTCCCACGATATAAATGATAAAAGCCAGAACAAGGGGCATACTGCTGATAGTAGGTAAAGTCCTAGCTTCGGAGCCAGCCCTGACCCACTGAGTATGAGTCCAGGGGCCTTGGGCAATCTTGGGCACATCTCTGGGCTCAGATACCTTATCTATAAAATGGGGGTATTGTAAAGCCCTTGTAAGGTGCCAGCATCACCATCTTGGGCAAGTCAGTTTTCTTCTGAGAGCCAGTTTCTCTCACTATAAAACCAGGTGATTGAGCTAACTTTGGACTGCTCTTCATCCTGCACATTAAGCACCTACTGTGTGCGAAGACCTGAATAGGGTATTAGGAATACAGCAGTAAATAAGATAGACCTGGTTTAGTAGGATGGTGGGGAGGCCGGTCACTAGTCAAGCAATGATAAAGAAGCTTGCGTCCATGTTGAAGAACAAGTGGGGCCAAAACTGGTGTGGCTCAGTGGTAGAGCGTCTGTCTGGAGATCCCAGGTTCGATTCCGGTCAAGGGCATGTACGTTGGTTGTGGGCATGTATGTTGGAGTAGGCGGTGTGCAAGAGGCAGCTGGTCGATGTTTCTCTCTCATCGATGTTTCTAGCTCTCTATCTCTCTCCCTTTCTCTCTGTAAAAAATAAATAAAATATATTTAAAAAAAAAAAAAAAAGAACATCTGGGGAGCCTTGGTCCTGACATGGGACAACCCCCACCTGTAGATCAGGGGTTGGCAAACTTTTCCTGTAAAGGGCCGGATGGTATATATCTTTAGGTTTTGCAGGCCATACGGCATCTGCCATGACTACTCAACTCTGCTGTTGTAGTGCAAAAGCAGCCACACTCATGACACGTTAATGAATTTGTGGCTGGGTTCCAATAAAACTTTATTTCAAAAACATCAAGTGGGCTGGATTTTGCCTGTGGATTGCAATTTGCTGACCCCTGCTGTAGGCGAGTGGGGAAAGGACAGGCTAGTCTGTGAGTTAGCGAGGTGGGGGAAATGAAATGGGAGGGACTCTGTGACGGGCAGAATAATGGTCCCCAAAGCTGCCATCCTAACCCCTAGCACCTATGTTAGCTTACACATGGCAGCATGGACTTTACAGATGTGATGAAGGATCCTGAGATGGTAATATTATCCCGATTATTTGTGTGATGTAATCACAAGGGTCCTCATCTGGGGAATAGGGAAACAGAGAGGAGACAATGGAAGCAGAGAATGAGTGATGCAGGGCCACCAGTGAAGGAACTTGGCAGCCTCTGGAGGCCAGAAAAGTCAAGAAAATTATTCTCCCTTTGAACCTCTAAAACAGCGGTTCTCAACCTTCCTAATGCTGTGCCCTTTAATACAGTTCCTCATATTGTGGTGACCCCAGCCATACAGTTATTTTTGTTGCTACTTCATAACTGCAATTTTGCTACTGTTAATGAATCGTAATGTAAATATCTTTGTTTTCCAATGGTCTTAGGTGATCCTGCTAGTGGTTCTCAACCTGTGGGTCGCAGTTGAGAGCCGCTGCTGTAGAGCCTAAGACCATTGGAAAACCCAGATATTTACATTACGATCCATTAACAGTAGCAAAATTACAGTTATGAAGTAGCAACGAAAATAATTTTATGGCTGGGGGCCACCACAACGTGAGGAACTGTATTAAAGGGCCGCGGCATTAGGAAGGTTGAGAACCACTGCTCTAGAAGGAGCCCAGGCCTGTGCCACCATGATTTTGGCCCAGAGACTGAGTTTGGACTGCTGACCTCCAGAACTGTAAGAAAATAAATGTGTCTAAAAAGACATTAAACTTGGCCTCCAAGATGGCTGCGCCCAGGTGAATACCTAGCTGCAGCCGCACACAACAATTTCAATAAAATACAACTAAAATATAAAACGGACATTACCCAGAACTACAGGAAAGTTGACTGACTGGAAATTCTACAACGAGAAGCAAGGAAATAACCAGAAGGAAGCGCAGAGGAGCTGGAAAAGCCGAAGGTACGGAGACACGTGGCGCGCGGAGAGGACGGAGCTGGAGAGGAGGGAGGCGGAGTGCCTGGCGGGCCTTCCCAAGCAGGAAGGAGATAAAACTCTGACTGTGCTGGGCCCCATTCTGACTGCTCTGAACCCAAGCCTAGGCCAGACCTTGGGGACTCAGGCTCAGCCAGAGGGAGCTGGGCTGCGAGGCGGAACCCGGGGAAGCTGCGAAAGGAGGTCCTGGCGGTGGCGCCCAGTGCGCCCAGAGAAGGGACGGCCGGCTGTGCCGCGGGATTGCCTGGCGGGAAGGAGACAGAGGCTCCAGACTGCTCTGAACGCCACCTCCAACCCCACTTCCAACTGAACTGAACCCCAATACCGGGCTCATTGGGGAGAGCATCGACTGTTTGGCAGCAGGCGATCGAGGGCGCCTTTCTCTCAGAGGCGCCGGCAGCGAGCACTGAAGGACCCGCATAGGGCGGGGCTGACGGAAGCCAAAGCTGCAGGCTCCACCCTGAAACCCCGCCCCATCTGTAGCTGCGAAATGCGACAACGAAATAGATCACAAACGAAAGAAATGGAGGACAAAAAGCGGCTGGATATAGAGTTCAAATCTACGCTTATAAGGTTTTTCAAGAATTTCCTAGAAAAGATGGATAAGACCTATGAGGATATGAAAAGAAATCAACTAGAATTAATAAGGAGTCATCAAGAAATGATAAGGGAACAACAAGAAATAAAGAATACATTGTCTGAAATAAAAAATATTTTACAGAGTCCTAAAAACAGAAGGGAAGATCGCAAGAATCAAGTCAAAGATTTGGAACATAAAGAGCCAGAAGACACTCCTCCACAGAAGCTAGAAGGCAAGAGAATCCAGAAAATTGAAGATAATGTAAGAAACCTCTGGGACAACTTCAAGCGAACCAACATCAGAATTATGGGGGTCCCAGAAGATGAGAGAGAGCAAGATATCGAAAACATACTGAAAGAAATAGTGACAGAAAACTTCCCCCACCTGGGGAAAGAATTAGACTTACAAGTCCAGGAAGCGCACAGAACTCCAAACAAAAGGAATCCAAAGAGGACCACACCAAGACAAATCATAATTAAAATTCCAAGAGCAAAAGACAAAGAGAGAATATTAAAAGAAGCAAGAGCAAAGAAGGTAGTTACCTATAAAGGATCACCTATACGATTGTCAGCTGACTTCTCAACAGAAACCATGCAGGCCAGACGGGAATGGCAAGAAATATTCAAGGTGATGAATAGTAAGAACCTACAGCCAAAGATAATCTATCCAGCAAAGCTATCACTCAGAATCGAAGGTCAGATAAAGAGCTTCACTAATAAAAAACAGCTAAAGGAGTTCATCAACACCAAACCAGACTTATATGAGTTGCTGAAGGGAGTTCTTTCAGAAGAGAAAGTAAACAAAGATAAAAATTATGAACAACAAATATGTAACTATCAACAAGTGAATCTAAAAACCAAGGAAATTAAAAAAAAAAATCTGATGAACAATAGTATCTGTTGAATATAATAGAATCAGAGGTATGGAAGGGGAGTGAACTGACGATTCTTGGGGAAAAGAGAGGGGGGCGTGGGAAGAGACTGAACATAAACTGTGCACCTATGGATGAGGACAATGGGGCGTGGGGAAAGGACAGAGGGTGGGGTGGGAACCTGGTGGAGGAGAGCAATGGTGTGTGTGTGTGGGGGGAAGGAACATTTGTAATAATATGAACAATAAAAACTTATTTAAAAAAAATAAAATAAAATGACATTAAACTTGTGGCAATTTGTTACAGCAGCAATAGAAAACTAGTACAGATCCCGACCTCACACCATACACAAAAGCTAGTTTCCAGGAAGTTAAGATCTAAATTTGAAGCACACTTATTTAAATGGAAATATAGAATATCTTAGTAACCTCAGAAGTAGAGAAAGTATTTTTAAGACACAAAAAGAGCAAATTATAAAGGAAGAGACTGGTAAGTGTGACCATAAACAAATCAAGTTAGAAATATGATACAGCATGATAAGAGTGTATACCTAACATATACTATTCTAGAGGTTAGGAAAGGCCTTTTTTAAAATACATTTTTATTGATTTCAGAGAGGGAGAGGGAGAGAGATAAAAACATCAATAATGAGAGCAAGTCATTGATGGGCTGCCTCCTGCCTGCCCCCTACTGGGGATCAAGCCTGCAACCTGGGCATATGCCACCAACCGGAATCAAACCCAGGACCCTTCAGTCCCCAGGCTAATGCTCTATCCACTGAGCTAGACCAACTAGGGCAGAAAAGGCTTTCTTGAGCAGATAATGTTTTGAGCTGAAACCTGAAAGGTGTGAAGGATGGACTGGGAGATGGTTTGTGCAGGCTCCAGCATAAGGAGTAGAATCAGGCAGGTAAATGGAAATGAATGTAGACTACTCAGCAAGGTCTGCAGGGGGCGGGGCTGGGCATAGGTAAGGATTACAGTCCCTCCTCCAAACTTGACAGCATGACTTGTGTCCATGTATACATAGAGCTGTCCAGGGAGAGTTTCTCTGTAGCAACCACACCACCTCACAGGTTCAAAGGCACAAACATTTATCTGATCCAATCTTACAGGATGAGACTGGTCTGCAACCTAACAACAGGAAGGCGGGGCAGGGTGGGGAGGGCAGTGCTGATTCAGAGTGGACTCTAGGTCTCCGACACCCGGATGCCTGGCTGCTCCTTGCACATGTCCTGCCGGAAGGTCTTTGCAGTTGCTTTTCCTCTGCCTGGACCAATTTCCCAGGACCCTTTCCCAAGGCCCTGCAGAAGGGGAAGCCCCCTGAGATGCCTTCTCCTGACTCTAATACCTTCACCTGGCCCTGTCACTCTCAGTGTGAACACTGCCCTGCTCTCTGCTCTCACGGCATTTACCCCTGCCCAGCACTGCAGCACACCCTCACTGTCCCTCCCCCCACAGAATGTCAGCCCAGGGTGAGGGCTTGTGTCTGTTTCCACACTGCCGCCGTGTCCCACTCACAGTGGGTATGGTAGGCAGAACAAGGCCTCCCAAAGATGTCCACAGCCTAATCACTGGAACCGATGGACATGGAATGTGGCAAAGATTTAAGGCGGCAGAAGGAATTTCCGTTACTAATTGGCTGACCTTAAAAAGATTATCCCAGATTATCCATGTGGCTCCACATAGTCACCCGAGTCTAAATGTGGAAGAAAAAGACCAAAGATTGGGTGTCAGAGCGGCGATGTGCATGAGAAAGACTCGCCTGGCTTTGTGGTCTTTGCCTGTGGAAGGGGAGGGGAGTGTGACCAGCTGCTACCAGCTGGAAAGCCAAGGAAGTCTCCCCTGGAGCCCAGGGAGCCTACACCGGGATGTGTTAGCCCAGGGAGACCACCTCAGACTTCAGACCTAGAATAGAAACGTTTGTTGTTCTAAGACATTAAGTTTGCAGTAATTTGTTACAGCAACAAGAGGAAGTAATATAGTGAGTGGCCAGTGCACGTATGAATGAATGAAAAATGAATGAGTGGATACAGAATCTAATACCACCTTACCTCACAGATAAAAAAAAGCAAAGGTCAACAAAGAGAAAGGATGAAGATGCATGGCCCTTGGTTAGTTGATGGGGCAAAGCTGGGAATGGCCTTGGAATGTCCCAGGAAAGATTACCCAAAGAGCAGATCTCAAACCCAGATGACCCAGCCCTTTGTGCTGCTCAAACCCCTTCCTGACCCACACCCCCAGGAAAAGCCCGATTCTCGCCTGGTGCCGACAGCCGTGCTTGTGCTGCCTCAGGGATGGGAACGCTTGTGCTGTTCAGGGCACTGATACGGGGCCAGTGTGAGGAAGTGAATTTTTCCTTTAATTTCACTGTCATTTTTTTAATCCTCATCCAAGGATTTTTTTTCCCATTGACTTTTAGAGAGTAGGAAGAGGGGACAGAAAAACATCAATGTGAGAGACACATCGATCAGTGGCCTACTGCACGCACCTGGAATGGGGCAGGGATGAATCTGCAATCGAGGTACATGACTTAACTGGGAATTGAACCCAAGACACTTCTGTCCAAGCGTCGATGCTCTAACCACTGAACTACAGGCGAGGGCTCATTTCATTGTAATTTAAGTAGCCACCTGTGTCCACTGGCTACCACACTGGACGCTGCGGCTGCAAAGCCTGTGCCCACCTTTCTAGCCGATCTGCCCCCACAGCCTCTTCACCGAGGGTGGCAATGCTCTTTCAACTCCACCCAACACCAGGCTAGCAGCTCCCACTTTCGGGCCTTTGTCCATGCATGGCCCCTGTCCATCTTCAGTCCCGACTCTCTAACACCAGCTCAGCTCCGACCTTAAGTGTATGAGCCCTGAAGGGGGTTCAGGACTTGGGTGGATTGATTAAAATGCCCCTCCCCCCATCCTACCTCCCACATGAGCTGATGTGAAGCCATGCTGTGAGTTACAGAGCGACTCCTGGAAACCCCGTGGAAAGGGAGAGACCCCTGGCAGGGGAGCTGAGACTTCAGAGAGCATCCAGTCCTCCAGCCCAGGACCCACAGAGGGACAACCAAGACCCAGGCACACCCTGAGCCCCCGAGAGTGAGAACAGCTGAGTGTCATTCCCAGTTCCCTGGCGCCTGCTCCCACAGGCGGAGGGGCCAGAGAGAAGTGACCAGCAGCTCCTTCCCTCCCAGCGCCCTCAGAGAGCCCCTCCATCTCCAGGACCCGGGTCAGGAGGCTCCGGCAGCTCCGAGACCTGCCTCTCAGAGGGGAAGCAAAAACCAAACAGAAGACGCAGCTGGGAGCCTCCTAGAATTTCTGGGAAACTCCTGAGTGAGAGAGGCAGTGGCTCCAAGCCAAGCCAGCTTTATTAAACGTGTGTGTGTGTGTGTGTGTGTGTGTGTGTGTGTGCGCGCGCGCGCACACATACTTCAGGCCTGGGGCACCACCCCGTAGAGCTGGTGAGGGAGTAACTTCTGCTTCTCGTTACAACTGTAAATCCACCTCGGGCGGACGAACACCAGGGAGGGGTTGTCCATCAGGGCCTGCGGGGGGGGGGGGGGGGGGGCAGGGCACACGTGAGAGAGGAGGGGACAGAGGAGACTTGGGGCGGTTTGGGTCTTCCTTCCCTGCCCCTCTGCACTCACCTCCTCAAAGCTAGGGTCCCACTCCTGTGCCGTGACCACAAACTGGACCCGGTCGCTCATATAGTCCTCGAGCTCCCTAGCGGGGAAGAAAAGAGGCCGAGAATCGGTGTCCCCTCTGCTGACATCCCACTCCCCAACCATCCCAAAGGCTGCCCCCTCCTGTCCCGCCCATGTGCCCAAAGGCTGCCTGTGGATCCTCCACTGTCCCATGTGCCAGTCTCAGCACAGCCACGACCGCCACTCCCGCCGACACGACCGCCACTCCCACCGCCACTCCCACCGCCACTCCCACCGCCACGACCGCCACTCCCACCGCCACGACCGACGCTCCCACCGCCACGACCGACGCTCCCACCGCCACGACCGCCACTCCCGCCGCCACTCCCACCGCCACTCCCAGCGCCACTAATCCTTGCAGAAGGGCAGCCGGGAGCCTCACCTTAGAGAAGGAAGCCTAGGGCAGTGGTCGGCAAACTCATTAGTCAACAGAACCTAATACCAACAGTACAACGATTGAAATTTCTTTTGAGCCAAATTTTTAAAATTTAAACTTCTTCTTACAGTTTTATATTTTATATATTTTATTGATTTGTTACAGAGAGGAAGAGAGAGGGATAGAGAGTTAGAAACATCGATGAGAGAGAATCATCGATCAGCTGCCTCTTGCACACCCCCTACTGGGGATGTGCCCGCAACCCAGGTACGTGCCCTTGACCGGAATCAAACCTGGGACCTTTCAGTCCGCAGGCCAACGCTCTATCCACTGAGCCAAACCGGCCTCGGCCAAAATTTAAACTTCTTCTAACGCCACTTCTTCAAAATAGACTCGCCCAGGCCATGGTATTTTGTGGAAGAGCCACACTCAAGGGGCCCAAGAGCCGCATGTGGCTTTGCCGACCACTGGCCTAAGGGAAGCTACGCAGCAGGGCTGCCACTGAACCCTGTGGTCTGTGCCCATCCTGGAGGGTTCGCCCCTTCCCCACCACCCACAACCTACCACCCCTCCTCAAAACTCAGCGCCCCCTCCCAGCCCCCCCAGCGGCTGACCCGTTGAAGGCTGTGACGTAGCGGCTGAGCGTCCTCCGCTCGTCCCCGGGGAACTCCCCGTACAGGAAGAAGTGCTTGCCCTGGAAGAAGTCTGGGGAGGAGGGAGAAGAGCCAAGGTGAGGCCCTGGAGTGCAAGGCACCAGCCAGGAGCCACGGAGGCAAAGCAGCGGGCAGGGGCGGCCGGGCAATGGACACAGCGGTTCGGCCGGCCCAGCATAGCCTGGGGTTTCATTGTTGCTTTCTTTAATGGCAAAAGACACAATCCCACTGACTGCAATGTGCTCCTCACATGACTCCCAATTCCCTGGCACCGAGGCACCAGGGAGAGGGACAAACAGTTCCTTCCCTACCAGAGCCTCACAGGGCCCCTCGTTCTCTCAGTCACAAAGGGGCTGTTGCCCTTACTAAGCTTGGCCGGGTCAGGTCAGAAACTGGCCAACCGGCCACTTCTTCATCTGGCTGGTCTCATTGCTTTTCCACCGCCCCGCCCCCACCCACAAACACTGAACTGAGGGGGGGGGGGTGCTGGGCATCTGCAGAGTTTAAGAGCCTCCAGGTAAGCCGGAAGCCTAGGGGTTAAGCTCTGGTGAGGGAGGGGCTGTTCACACCGGAGTGGAGCCAAAGGGGTGGTCACACCTGCCTGGTGCTGGGCTGTGATGGAGGCTGACGGGGGACAGAAAGGGAAGGGAAGGGAACAGGCCTAAGAGAACGAAGGGGTGGCAAAGGCAGGCAGTGGTGGGGAGCAGACCGGGAGACAAGTCCCAGGGTGGGTGGCTGCAATCCTAGGCTAGCCGGAGCAAGTCACAGGCGAGAACTGAGAGGAGCAGATCCACTTCAGGAGGGAGGGAGGGGGATTTCCTACCTGGGAGCTCAGGGATTGGCAGGTCAGGAGACTGTGGGGGACTCTCATTGTCTGTGTTCTCATCTGTGGATCCCGCATATGGGTCCTCGCCATTCTCTCCCTGGCCAGCGGGCTGCCTTTGTTCCTTCTGCTCAGCCACCCTGGGGGAGCCAAGAGGGTGGGGGAAGAGTATGCAGACCAGATCCCCTCTACCCACGGCCTGGCCCACCCTGACCCCCAGCCCCAACGCCACCTTCTCAGCTCATCCTCGGTGTCTTCGGAATCTTCCGCTCCATTGTCCTGTCCTTCTGCGAGCGGAAGCTTAGTCAATGCAAGGTGACCCATCTTCCAGGAAGCCTGGCAACCCTCTGCAGTCTCTCACAGGCATCCCAAACCCCAACCTCAATAGATCTCCGATCCAGCTATCGGGGGGCCCTCAGCCTCCTCCTCCCTCAGACCCAAGAGCCCAGGCCCCCATTCCCTCCTCCCCAAGGCTCTGACCTGACCACTCCCCCTCCGTGTGGGTATCTTCCTGGGACCCCGGGGAGGCTGGTTTGGTGTCTTCTGGAGTGGCGGGAGTCAGGGGTGAGCTGGGTCCCGCTGGTGGGGGGGCCTTGGTTTTGGCCTAGGGGCACGGAGGAGGGAGTGGGTGAGTGAGCACGCAGGGCAGGGCAGGGCGGGTGGGAGGCATATGGGGAGGCGTGCCGCACGAGGCGGGAGCAGACTTTGGGGCCCACAACAGGCCCATATCCTCCTCCCAGGACATCCTCCCACATCCTCCCTCAGGGGACAGCGCACCTTTTGGGGAAGCTGTGGGGCTTCGTCCCCGCTGCCGCCGCCCTGAGGGCCGCCCTCGTCCTCGCTGCTGGAGTCCGGCCCTGCCATGAGGTACCTGGGGGAGGAGTCGGGCCTCAGACGAACAGGATGCCCTGTCCTCTGGGGCCTGCAGGGAGGGTGCTCAGGGTCCCAGCTGCCTCTTTCCCATTCTGGAAGGCCCCACCGACCCCGCCACCCCAGCCACCCACACAGGAGGCCAGAGCTCCCCCTGGCTGCCCTCCCTCCTCTTGTGGAAGAATGCCCCATTTCAGAAATTAAAAAAAAATAATCAGAAATAATTTTCCCCTTTGAGAATCAAAGTCAGTTTTAAGGGAAAATTCCCAAAAGCGAATACATTTTTAAAGACCTTGGCACTATCTTCATGGTCCTTAAGCTGCTGACACTCCAGGAAAAGAATTCTCCTAGTTCTAATAATAACAACAGCTGACACTTATACGGGTTTTCCTATGTGCCAGGCATTATTCTAAACACTTGACAAATGCGGAGTCACGGAATCCGGAGGTAGGAGGTATCTTAGCCCCATTTTACAGATGGGGAAACTAAGGCACAGGGAGGTTAAATTCTTTGCCTCAATCTCAGGGCAAATTAATTGTGTAGCAGAAACAATTGAACGTGTTGGCTTTCCTTTCATGGTACGCACATGAAGACCCTCTGCATATAATTTGATTTTTCCAAAGCTGATGAAATATGTTCAGGTAAGTCAAACCCACTGAACAGCACTGGCTCATGGGAAACTCAGAGAATTTAGTGTCATAGTTGATTAAAGAATCAATGGTAGGCTGCCGAAACTGGTTTGGCTCAATGGATAGAGCGTTGGCCTGCGAACTGAAGGGTCCGAGGTTCGATTCTGGTCGGGGGCATGTACCTTGGTTGCGGGCACATCCCTAGTGGGGAGTGTGCAAGAGGCAGCTGATTGATGATTCTCTCTCATCGATGTTTCCAACTTTATATCTCTCTTCCTTCCTCTCTGTAAAAAAATCAATAAAATATATTAAAAAAAGAAAAAAAAGATCTGGGGGAAATAATTGATCAAACGAAGGACTTGTATACATGCATATAAGTACAACCAATGTTCATAAAACTCTGGGGAGCGAGGGGATGGGTGGGATGGAGGGAGGGGGGTAAAAAAAATCAATAAAATATGTAAAAAAAAATCAATAAAATATGAAAAAAAAAAAAAAAAAAAAAAGAAAAAAAAGAATCAATGGTAGGCTTTATAAGCTTGGAAATAAAATATTTTTAAAACTCAATTTGTGATTATTGTGGGGAGAGCCATCACCTGGGAATCTTCCATCATCAACTTTTGAAAATATAAAGTGCTTTCTGAATTTAATTTTTTTTGGTCAAAAGCCAGTTGCAAAAATAATAATAATAATAATAATAATAATAATAATAAATCCCATTTGCAGCCTGGCTGGTGTAGGCTCAGTGGTTGAGTGTCAACTTATGAACCAGGACATCGTGGTTTAATTCCTGGTCGGGGCACATGTCAGTAGAAGGCGCGGAGGAGGAAATCGATCAATGATTCTCTCTCATTATTGATGTTTCTTTTTCTCCCTCTCCCTTCCTCTCCTAAGTCAATAAAAATATAAAACAAACCAACAACAACCAAAACAAACAAACAAAAAACCCCAGTTGCAAACCTAGCACTGCTTATTGCCTTTTCTTGTGCAGACAATGATCCCAATCCAGTTCCTCTGTCCCTAAATAGACTCCAACCCACCCCATTCCTATCCCCGAGGCCCAGCCTCCTCCGGGTCCCCACCTGCAGCCCAGCCTAGACACGCCAACCCTCACAACAGAGCCTGCCCCCCCCCCCCAAACCTTCCACGGCTCCCTGCTGCTCAGAGACCCTTGGAGCCAGGTGGGTTTCAGAATGTTGAAATTTTCAGATTTCAGAGGTATATAGATTGTTTCATACCAGTCTGTGGGGAAGGGGGAAATGCCCTATAAATCAAACCTATGAATAGTTCTGTAAACAATATGATGACATGCTTAATGGAATAAAGGTCATAAATAGCCTCGCATCAGCTCAGGAGGATCATGCAGCCAGTGTGCTTGCGCCAAATCCAGAAAAACGCTTTTGGCTTCCAGATGTGTTTGGATTCCCAAGCTGTAGATGTGGGGTCTGTGGAGCTGGACAGAGCCCTGCCCCAGCCTTTGCTATAAGTCCTTTCTGAGCTGATCCCACCACTTCTCAGCCTCCACCTCCACCTCCAACTTCTCCCCAATAAAGAGTCTCTCAAGTACAGCAGGCACAGCCCCAATTCTGAACACACTCAGGCCTTCTTTCCCATGAGGTATATAACACAAGTCTCCTTCCGATCCACGGGCCTCAGATCTGACCCTGTCCTCCCCCAGCTCCAAAGCCTTCCATGGCTCCTGCTGCCCCGGCCTCATTTTCCTGCCACTTCCTGCCTTCCTGCCCCCCGCAGCAAGCGGAGCCCACCTGCACCTCCTCGGGCAGACGCCAGGCTGACCCCAGCTTTGGCTCCTCCACTCAGCGGGCTCTCTGCTCAGCCTGGCAAACCTCTTCTCATCCCTGAAGACCCTACACACACGGTTTCTCCTTGGGTCTTTCTCTATACGTTTTTTAAAATCTTATTTTTATTTTTTATTTATTTATTTATTTATTTTGCTAATTTCCCTTTTCCTATTTATTTATTTATTATTAAATTATAAAATCTTATTTTTAAAAATATATTTTATTAACTTTAGAGACGAAGGTTTACAGAGAGAAAGGGAGACAGACAGAAACATCAATGATGAAAGAGAATCATTGATGGGCTGCCTCCTGCATACCCCCAACTGGGGAAGGAGCCTGCAACTCAGGCATAGGCCCTGACCAGGAATTGAACCGTGATCTTCTGGTTCAGTGGTTGCCAACCTTTCAGATCTCACAGGCCACCAATGGTCCGAGGACCACCGGTTGGTGACCACTGTCTGGTTCGTAGGTCAATGCTCAACCACAGAGTCATACCACCAGGCATCCATACTGTTTTTTATTTGTTTGGGGTTTTTTGTTAATCCTCACCTGAGGATATTTTTTCCATTGATTTTTTTTTTTTTTTTTTTTTTTTTTTTTTTTTAGGGGAGGGGAGAGACACAGAGAGAAACATGATGTGAGAAAGACACATCGATTGGTTGCCTCCCACAAACATCCCGACCAGTTCTGGGACCAACCCTGCAACGAAGGTATGTGCCCTTGACGGGAATCGAATCTGTGACCTTTCATTCCACAGGCCAACACTCTAACCACTGAGCCAAACCTGCCAGGACCCCTACTGTTTTGTAACAAGTCTGGCCCCTCATCAAAGTGAGAGGCCTTGTCAAAGGCAGGGCCAAATGGGTGGGTGCCCACATCGCATGGGCCAGCCTGGCACCAAGCAGGGGCTTCAGGGGCTTGCTTTAAATGAATCTACCCTCAACAATAAAGATAAATAAACTTAAAAATTAACTAAATTAATCTAAACAAGCGCCAACACTCTGCTCTCCGCCCCTAGGTCTTTGCACATGCAGTGCCTTTCCTTCTCTGCTAAGCAGACTTCACAGAGCCTGCGTGAGCCCCCAGGCAAGTCCTCTCTCCCTCCCCCGCGATCCTAGCAGTGCTGGAGGAGGGAGAAGTCAGAAGTCAGCTCACTCCGGTCCGGGCCCATCTGTGTCCCGAGTTCTCTCCAGATCCCTAGCTTTGCCCAGCGCAGGGATGAGGAGCAGGGTAGGTGTGTGAGTATGTACATACATGCGTATACCACAGGGGTGCAGGGGGTCTCACCTCCGGGAGGGCAGCCGCTGCCGCCTGCGGTGACAGTCCAGCACCCACTCTTTACGCACAATGCGACCTCCGAGGCCTAGGACCTGGCCGTACTTAGGGGTGTTGGCAAAGGCACAGCTGTGGGGAGCAGAATGGAGGGCGTCAGTCAGGTGCGATGTGAGGGATAAGAGAGAAGAGGGAGACAAGGGGGACAGAGAGAGGGAGAAAAAGATGAGTGAGAGAGAAAAAGAAACAGATATGGGAGAAATAGGGAGACAGAAGGAAAGATGTACAAATCAGAGGAAACGAGGCAGAGGATCCATGCAGAGAACTGAAGAGACAAAGACACAGGCAGACAGGCAGAGAGAGAGAGAGAGAGAGAAAGCAAGGTGGAGCCGGAGGCGAGGCAGTGGTGGCAGGAAGGTGGGGAGGAGCAGATCACAGGCCTACATGAGGTGGGTGCTGTCTGGAGTCCAGTCCGGCCGATACTTGGCCCCGAGCTCCAAGGCCTTGTCCCGGAGCTCCGAGCGGAAGGGGTTCTGGAAGCCGCTCAGCACCACCACCACGCCCTTAAGGATCTTCCCCATCTCCTGCGGGCCAGCTCGGGGTGCCTTGTGCTCCTTGCCTTCTCCTCGGGGCTTCCCTGGCACTGCCCCCCGTGCTGGGGCAGGGACTGAGGCAGTGGCAGGGGTAGAGGTGGGTGCAAGCACTGCGGAAGCCAAAGAGAGGCTCAGTTAGCGCTGCTGGGACTAACCCCCTCGCCCTTCCTCCCTCAGCTCCAGAGTCCCAGCCCCAGTCGTCTCCACCCCCACGACACAGGAACACAGGAGTCCACTTTGCTCACATTTGGGCCTCTTGCGGGCAGGTGGCGAGGGCTGGGCTGACGGTTTGCTGGGGGTCTTCCTTTCTTCTTGATTCAAATCCAGCTTCCTCTTCCCTTTGGGGGACTCCTGAGGCTAAGCAGGTGAGATGAAATGAGGCCTCTAGCTTCTCTCCTCCTTCTCCACCTGTCAGGGTCTGATGCTCTCACCTTGGAGGTGCTGCCTGCTGGCCTGGAGGCTGGAGAGGGTGAGGAGGTGGCACTTGAGGCCTGCAGTGTGGCAGCTGCATAGCTGGGTCCTGATGGGTCACTGGTTGTGGCTACAGAGGGAGAAAGTGGAACTAGGATCAGACTGGCCCTTGGGCCCTTCAGCTCCTACCCATGCGACAGAGGGGTGTTCTCCTCCCCACTCAGGCCCAGGCGGCCAGGCCCCAGCCTCCTCAGACCCAGGAGTCTAGGTCCCAGCCCTGTACTCACTCAGGCCTCAGGTTTCCTCACTCACCAGGGGGCGTCTTATTGATCCGGCTGAAGAAGAGGGCCCCCGGTCTCAGCGAGCTGGCACCCTCATCCTCCTCCTTCACACGGAACTGGCCAAGCTTGGTCACCTTCTAAGATTCCACAAGGCCAGTGCAGTGGGTGGGGACTGCTGGCAGTGGGGGAGAAGAGGGAGGGCGAAGGCTCTGGGGTAGTGGGTAAAGCTTACCTGGGGAGAAGCCTCTACCTCGTCTTTGTCTGGAGGGCTGTGAAGCCGCACAAAACTCAGGCCATAGGGGGAGTCCTGGGAAAGAAGGGGTTGGAGTCCGGGAACCTGGCCAAGGACTAAAGCCCTTTAACCTAGGGATCCCTCTCTCTGGCTCTTGCCTCATCTGATGTCTGTATGATACTGAGGACAATAATAACAGCCAACTGCTATGGAGCCCTAACTGTGGGTCAGCACAGCTCTGAGCCCTTTTATACGCATTAGTGCTGCTAGCCTCATAAGCAATGGGCCAATGGAATGGGAGGGAGTGCTCCTGCCTCTCCGGGAACACAGAAATGCTCCAGGCTCTGCCCCCTCTGCCAGCTGGACGCAGAGCCATAAGATGGGAGGAACCTGGGTCCCTGGGTGACCAAACACCCCCCAGGACAGTTCCCCCGGTAAGGATACCTCTACTGTGTGGTGTCATTACCACTTGGGTCTTGTTATCACAGCTTAGCATCCTAACTCACAGCAACCCATAAGGATCAGGAAACTGAGACCAGAAAGATTACGTCACCTGCCCAAAGTCACGCAGTAAGAAGCGGTGCAGCCACCTTAAACCCAGTGTCTGACTTCATTCCCTTGATGTTAACTCCAAGGCCCACTCTCCAAGTCAGCTGTCCCCCTCCTCCAGTTCCCCTCTGAGGTCCAAGACATCGTCCAGGAAACAAAGCCTCAACGAGGGGGAACTCAAACCCATTTCAGGGAAAGCCTCTTCATGGCCCCGTGGGGATACCAGCTGCCTAGTCCTCCCCGCCCTCTGTGACCCAATACCGGCCCCTCAGCTCTCTCCTCACCCACGACCAAGGACCCTGCCTCCCAGCCCCCACCCTAGGTACCTTGCTATAGGGCTGGCTGCACACAATTTTGACTCGGTCCCAGCGCTTCTCCGCTGCTCCCCGGACCAGCTTGTCAGGCCCAAAGATGCGAACACGGTTGGGGTTGGAGCCGCTTCGGCTCTCAGAAGGGGACATGAAAGACGAGGTGACCAGAAGGACCTGGGAGAGGGCAAAATAAATGAGGCTGGCTCCTTTATTTATTTATTTATTTATTTATTTACTTACTTACTTATTTATTTATTTATTCTTGAGGCTGGCTCCTTTAAATGATACATCCTAGAGGCTGGGAAGAGGGCAGGGTGCCGGAGAGAAAGCTAGGGAGCCGCCACATCCAGCTCATGCCCTGACCTGCGTCAAGGTCTCTAGACTCTTCTCTTGTTTCTGGGCCTCCGGTCAGTCCTTCCCTGACACAGGCCCCAGAGGAGCCTCCTATGTTCAGATCTGAATGATCCTTCTGAAGTTCGTGCCCAGAGCCTTCCATACTTGGCCATCTGGTGGGGCTACGCGACCTAAGGAACGAGCCCTCCCAGCAGAGAAGCGTCACGGTGACTGGCACAGTATTCAAACACCTTTTGGAAATTCAAGGCTGGGTCAATGGAAAGGCGGCAGAGTTATCAGAGGCCAGAAATGAGAGAGCTGGGCCAGTTACTAAGTGATTCTCGCAGCTCAAACCCAGCCAGTGGAGCCTGGAACTTTCTGCTTCTCCAGCTGCTCCTTATCGGGCTCTGCCAGCAGGGGGAGCTACAGACAGGCTGCAAGACGAGGAGGGTGGAGGCTCTGCTCCTGTGAGCATCACCCCAGGCAAGTCTCTGCTTCTCCGAGTGCTCCTTCCCAGGGCAGCAGAGCGTCCAGTTCGCAGCTTCCTAACACTGCACAACCCGCCTAGCCAGCCCCTCTCAGGTCGGAGTTTCAGCTCTATGGAACCCAACCTCCAACATCTATGTTCCAATCATTCCTACCTCTTCCTCTTGTTCCCCCAAACCTAGGGGGAGCAAAAGGCAGCTGCTCCCTGCACTTGCTTCTTCATCGCACCTTAGTCTTCTTGCCTCATCAGTTACTAATTCCCTGTTAAAATAACTGGTGTGGCCAAAACCGGTTTGGCTCAGTGGATAGAGCGTCCCACGTTCGATTCCGGTCAAGGGCATGTACATTGGTTGCGGGCACATCCCCGGTAGAGGGGGTGTGCAGGAGGCAGCTGGTCGATGTTCCTCTCTCATCGATGTTTCTAGCTCTCTATCCCTCTCTCTTTCTCTCTGTAAAGAATCAATAAAATATATTTTAAAAAATAAATAAATAACTGGTGTGGTTTCCGTCTCCTGGTAGGACCCTGACTGATATGGTGGGTGGCCCTGACATGGTTTTTGTCCTAGTGCTGACGCTGCGTGGCACACAGAGCTTGATTTAAAGGGCCCTTTGGGGTGGTGGCAGCAGGGAATAGAAGGCCAAGCCTGCACTCCAAGTAGGGAAATCAGTATCTCAGAGACCACCACCAAATCACAGAGCTGGGCTCCTCCCTGAGCTCAGGGGAAATGTGCCTACGGAGAGAAGGGGAGCCTGAGCTCTGGAGGACAGCAGAGAAAAGATGAAAATGTATCTGTGGACAACTCCTGTCATGAGTTTGTACTCTCAAGGACTTGGAGCAGAAACTCACACTAGCTATCTGCGTGGAAAAACACAAGCCAAACATTTTCAGTGGTCCCATGTACACAGTGTCCTCTGACACCTGGGCACATACTCTTTGGAGGAGCGTATGTCAAACCCAGTCCTCCAAGATTTCCCATAGATACGGTCCCAAAGAACCCAAGTTCACACACACACACACACACACACACATACACCCATGAGGCGTGAGAAAACAAGCTGCCCTGACTTCAGATCAGCAGAAAACACAAAGTGCAGATCAGACCCACAAAGGCTGCACATACTGAAAATGTCAAACATACAATATAAAAGTATTTTTAATAGTTTATTTATTTTTTTTTAAATATATTTTATTGATTTTGTACAGAGAGGAAGGGAGAGAGATAGAAAGCTAGAAACATCAATGAGAGAGAGTCATCGATCAGCTGCCTCTTGCACACCCCCTACTGGGGATATGCCCGCAACCAAGGTACATGCCCTTGACCGGAATCGAACCCGGGTCCCTTCAGTCCCCAAGCCGACGCTCTATCCATTGAGCCAAACCGGTCTCGGCGTATTTTTAATAGTTTAAAGAAATAAATGGCCGAAACCGGTTTGGCTCAGCAGTAGAGCGTTGGTCTGTGGACTGAAAGGTCCCAGGTTCGATTCTGGTCAAGGGCATGTACATTGGCTGCGGGTACATCCAGGTAGGGGGTGTGCAGGAGGCAGCTGGTCAATGATTCTCTCTCATCGACGTTTCTAGCTCTCTATCCCTCTCCCTTCCTCTCTGTAAAAAATCAATAAAATATAATAAATAAATAAAAAGAAATGGACAGGATGATAAAGGAACACATAATAACCAAAACTGACCAGGCAATTTTGAAAAAGAAAGAGTTCAACACCCAACACTAAGGGATGACTCAGGATCGGTCAAAGCATTCAAATTCCCTCTGCCGAAGGTTGGTCCAAAGATGTACACGAGACCCCCTTCTGGCCAGTGTGATATTAAGAGGGAGCTTGTGTGGGGGCTTCCGAGAAAGCGTTTTCCTTCCTCATTAAAGAAACAGGATGGAAGAGAGCCACTGAACTCCTGCCATCCACTTTCCCCAACTCCTGCTTTGGATGCTACAAGGTGACGGACGGAGCAGCAGCCATCATATCGCAATTGTGTGGGCAAATCCAAAAGGACAAGATGTGCCAACCTCGCACCCGTTGTTAAGCTTCCAGCCCAGCCCTGGGCCAGCCTAATGCCAGCCTTTCTGCCTGAGGAGACAATTAACGGGCTCATGCAGGGAGCCGATTTTAGTTTAGTATATTTTGTTACTTATTCTCTTTCTAACTGACAAGCTGTGGAATTAGAAAACAAAAGCCTTCTGCTAAGAAAAACATAGGCTACGACTAGATGTCTTTTTGTGCTCAACTCTGATCATGAAAAGGGAACAGCAAAGACAAAGAAAATTATATAGAAGAGAAGCTTTCTCTCTGGCCTTGACTAGAATTGTTTAAAAAGGCCTGATTTGGAGCTGATAGAGGAGCTGAATTTATCATCTAGTGACTAAAATTAAGGGGCAACTCAAACTGTGACTGGTGGCTGCTACCCCTACCAAGAGGTAGATTTCCTCTGAAAACACTCTCTTCCCATTCCTTGTAAAAAGAAAACTACACTAGTTATCAGGCTGTTTTATTACCCAACACTATCTTTAAGGTTCCAGGATTAAGCTTTACTCTCTGGATGAGTTAGCCTGAAAGGCTTACACATCTTCTGGAGATGTGGAAGCCTTTGTGGAATTTGAAGAGCGGAAAAAAGAACATGTTGTCCTGGCTGGTTTGGCTCAGAGGTGAGAGCACTGGCCCATGGACTGAAGTGTCCCAGGTTCAATTCCGGTTAAAGGCACATACTCAAATAGATGTTTCTCTTTCTCTCTCCCTTCCTTTCCCTTCCTTTCTTTCTCTAAAAATCAATAGACTATTCTTTAAAAACAGAAACAAGAAATGTCTCACTGCAAGAAAAATAAAATATCTCGTAGAAAACTGGTTTGTTCGCTTAAAATTATAAACTCTCTTTGTCACGGTAGGTCTATTTTTACCCAAAAACATTTCGTTGATTAACTAGCCTGCTAACTATGATCTCATCGATCCAGCTCTAATTAATTCAACCAGAAAAACAAAGATTGTGCCAACTTTTAAAAATACTCGTAATAGAGCAAAAGGCATTTCTTCTTGGAAACATCTGTCACAAATCAAGTGACTAACAGAGGCAACCCACACAATTGGAAATCTCAATTGGCAGGGACATCTGTGAGAGCCCTGGGGCTGAGGGAAGCAGTTCTGCTCTCCAGCGGTGACTGAATCTTGGAACAAACATGTGCCTCTGGTCGTTTATGCCACCACAAGGCAACCCGGTCCCTTCCATGCTGTGCACTGTTTATCACCTGCCTCTTCCGAACACCGGGCTCCTCCAGAGGGCACTGGTCAGTGTGACGCATGTCTACCCCCGTCTGGCACCCAGGGGAAGCAGTGATGGGAATCTCAGGCAGGGATCAGCCTGGGGCCCATCGCAAGTCCCTGCTTACCTCATAGTCTTGCTCCCCAGTCCCTCCAGCCGAGCTGCCCACCAGCACCTCCACAAAGGCCGAGCCATCGTTCCCGATATCCACATGGTGTATCTGCTCCTCCTTCTCTAACTGCAAGAGAGGGGAAGCCCGCCGGTTAGTGCCCGCTCTGCCCAGGGCTCACTGTGGGACCTTGGGAGTGGGGAGACCCGCATATGAGCCAGCATATCTCCTTGCAATGTCAACTCTGGGACAAGTAGGTGGCCAATACTGAGTGGTGCCACCTTGTCCCCAGCATGCAGCATTCAGAGCTCAAAAATATTCACTGAATGCACAAACCCCTACACCCTCTTTCCCGGCTCCTCCAGAATCTGCCAGATCAGCTTATAATCTGCTCTCTTTGGCAGCACTTGCCAGTTTCCACCCCGAATCACACAGGATTCTGGAGAAGTTCCCTGGGGGTACGGTCCTGCTCTGGTTTTCTCACCACTGCTTTCCTGGGTTCAAAACCCAGCTCTGCCAAATGCTAGCTATATGGCCTCTAACCATGTGAAGCTTCCGTTTCCTCATCTGTAAAATGGGGATGATAACCGTATCTTTACACTTAAATACTATGGCCACAGGGCCCTCGCGCAGTCTGGGAGCCCTTGGAGGCTGTCTGGCTGAAGCCATCGGTCAGACGTCCTTAGCGCTGCCAGAGGCAGGAGAGGCTCCCGCCAACGCTGCTGCACTGCCAGCTGTGAGCCAGGCTTCTGGCTGAGCGGTGCTCCCCTTGTGGGAGCGCCCTGACCACCAAGGGGCAGCTCCTGCGTTAAGCATCTGCCCCTGGTGTTCAGAGGGTGGCATAGTGACTAGTCATTCTGCCATTGGGTCAATTTGCATTTATTATATAGGTTGCTCAATAATTATTTGTCAAAAGAAGAAAAGAGCTACCTGTAGGACCTGCCATCCCCTTCTGACAGTTAAGGGTGCAGAAGGCCAGGTGAGGGTGGAAGGCAGTTGGGAACTGCTGAGGCAAGTCTCCTGCTTTCTAGTTTGGGACTCCTGTATTTGGATTCTAGAATGACAAGTTAGCCCACTGATGTGGCTCAGCGGTTGGGCATTGACCCATGAACGGTTCAATTCCTAGTCAGGGCACATGCCCGGATTGTGGACTCAATCCCCAGGTGGGGGGGGAGGTGCAAGAGGCAGCCGATCGGTTCTCTCTCATCGTTGATGTTTCTATCCTTCGCTTTCTTGCTGTGAAATCTGTAATAATTTTTAAAAAAACACACATATAGAATGACAAGTTATTCCAACCCTCAAAGGTACCTAGTTCACCACTGCTCAGATCACCTACCCCACCGCTCGGATCATCTGATGCTCCAATCTGCCCTGTCACTCCCCAGTCAGGAGTTCACACAGGAGCACCCCGACGTGGAAGGAAGGAGCCTGGACTTGGGATGAGTCAAGCCTGGGTTCAAATCCAGCCCTGTCATTTCTAAGTGTGCAATCCTGGGTGATGTACAATCTCTTTGAGAGGCAGCACACTCACATGTAAAAGGGAGGGTCCCCATAATAACCCTCCTTCTGAAGAGAGCCCAGATGACACAGATACTAACAACCATAACAACAGCTGCTGTGAAGATCTAAGGGCCCACGAGTGCCAGGCACATAATGCATGCATCTTCTCTCCGCACAACGGCTCTGCAAGGCAGGGCTATTATTATCTTCGCTTTATACATGGGCAACTGGAGGAAGGAAGTGGTTATGTAACTCCCTAAGGTCACACAGCTGGTGAGAGGAGAGCTGGTGCGGAGACCAGCAGGCTTGCTAGAACTGGTTGGGGCTCCTTCCCCACCAGGTGAGCATGCTGAAGAGAGAGGAAGTGAGGAGGGAGGGGCCTTCCCAAGGCTGAGCCCCCTGACGACTCTGACCGCCTCCACCGCTGCCCTCAGCTCAGAGCCCCGCACGGGTGTGGAGCTGCCAGGCACACAAGTCCCAGTCTGGCTTCCCGGCCTCCGGCCACACGTGGCGGCTCTCCTCCGGCCATGCTGCCTTCCTCCTGTCCTGAGAACAGGCGGGCTCCTTTCCCCGCAGGGCCTTCCCACCTGCCATCCCCCGCCTAGTCCAGCCTCCCCCAGACCTTCCTGCGTCCGGCTCCTTCCATCCTTCAGGTCTGCTCAGGTGCTGCTTCAGACCAAACAAAGTGGCCTCCCACCTCCTACCAGGTTCTTCTCTATCCCCCGTCCCTGCTTTATTTTTCTTCATTATCACCACTTGATATTATAGTTACATCTTTATTTGTATTTGTCTAGCATCTGTCTTTTAAGCTCCATGAGGACCGGGGCAATACGAGTCCCCAATGCCAAGTACAACGTCTGATCCATCCCAGCTCTGCTTCCTTACCGCTGTGTGATCCTGGAGCAAAGGGTTTCATGTCACCCCATGGGCCTTAGTTTCCTAACCTAAGATTCAAAGGAGGAATACACACGAAGCCCCCTGAATAGAGCCTGCCACAGGGCAAGCATTCCATAAATGTCAGCTGGCCGTATTACCACCAGAGGCCTTCAGTACATTCCTCACGGGTGAATGGACAGATGGACAGGAGGCTCCCAGTGACCATTTGCTGAAGAAACAAATGCCCTGAGTTGTAATTCTGATTCTCCTCTCCCTGACCAAGTGGCTTTGGTGAGTCGCTGGCCTCAGTGCTCTCGTCGGTCACAAAAGAATCGCCATGGCCAACGTGGCCCTTAGATTCACACTGAGGGCCAGGTGCGTAGTACATTCGTTTCCTGCTGCTGCTGCAACAAAGTACCACGAACGTCCTAGCTAAAAACAAAACAGCTCACAGACCTGGAGGTGCGAAGTCTGAAAGTTGGTCTCCCTGAGCTAAAATCAAGGTGTCCGCAGGGCTGCTTCTTCAGCAGACTCTGGGGGAGAAGCATGTCCTTGCCTTCTCCTACAGGCCATCTGCCTCCTTGGCTTGTAGCCCTCCCCGCAGCTTCACAGCCAGCAATGGCATCACTCCAACCTCCGCTTCCATCACCCCATCTCCGGTGACTCTGCTTCTGCTGCCTCCTCTTTCCCTTATAGGAACCCCTCCCCGCAATAATCCAGGTTAATCTCACCCTCTCAAGATCCTTAACTTCATCATATCTGCAAGGTCCCTTTTGCCATGTAAACTGGCATATTCACGGGTTCTGAGGGTTAGGATGGGGCATCTTTTCAGGGCCATTATTCTGCCTACCACAGTGGACAAAGCTCTCCCTGGGCCAGGCACCACTGAATCCTCACAAGGGTCTGTTACTATCCCAGTTCTACAGACGGGGAAACTGAGGTTTAGTTCAAATAAACGGCTCACATGTCACACAGAACTATGATTGCCAAAAAAATGTGGGCCCAACTTTCTGACTATAAACTAACACTCCTTCTCAACTCCCCTTCAGGTAAAAATGCAACATCTTTACCTCTCCCACAATACAAAGCAATAGGCCCCACATTTAATAGGATGTATATATTTTGTATTTTAAATGAATGAGTCTTACAACTACTTCTACTTTACACACACGGAGATTCCCTTATATTTTCTTTCTTTCTTTTTTTTATTACCACCCTAGTGGCCCAGTGCATGACATTTGTGCATGGGGGAGGGGGAGTCTCAGTCCAGCCTGCACCCTCTCCAATCTGGGACCCCCTGAGGGATGTCTGACTGCCAGCAGTCGGACATCCCTCTCGCAATCTGGGACCGCTGGCTCCTAACCGCTCACCTGCCTGCCTGCCTGATCGCCCCTAACCACTCTGCCTGCCAACCTGATCGCCCCCAACTGCCCCTCCTGCCAGCCTGCTAACCCCCAACTGCACCCCCCGGCCGGCCTGCTCGCCCCCAACTGCCCAACCCTCCCTCCCCCGCCAGCCTGACCACCCCCAACTGCCCTCCCCTCCTGGCCTAATCACCCATAACTGCCTCTGCCTCAGCCCCAGCACCATGGCTTTGTCCGGAAGGATGTCAGGAAGGTCTCCCAATCTAATTAGCATATTACCCTTTTATTAGTATAGATACTTAGTTTAAAACAACATACATTTATTATCTGTTTCTGTACATCAGAAAACACAGGATGACCGGATTCTCAGCTCAGGGTTTTATGGGGCTGAAATCTAGTGCTGGCTAAATCTGTGGTTCTCATCTGGGGTTCAGGGTCCTCTTTCACAAGGACTGGCTATTGGCAGAATTCATGTCCTTGTGGTTGAAGGACTGAGGTTCCCACTCCTAGCTGACAGTCAGGGCATGACTCTCAGTTGTCAGAGGCCACCGGCATTCCTTGCCACATGGCCCCCACAGGCCGCTCAGAGCATGGATGTTCGCTGCTTCTTCCAGCCAGACTATTTCTCTGACTTCCTCCTCTGTTTTTTCTTTTTGATAAATAAAAAACTTTTGATAAAAATGTGTATACATGGAAACAACCCAAATCAAATGTCCACTGTTATAAAAAAACACACCCAATGTTCATATGTCTATGAACGGATACACATTGTATGGTCTATCCAAACGATGGATTATTACTCAGCTCTAAAAAGGAAAGAAGCACTGATACATGCTACAACACGGAGGAACCTCGAAAACAATATGCTAAGTGAGAGAAGCCAGGCACAAAAGGCCATACATTTTGTCAGCCTCTTTATATGAAATGTCAGAATAGGTAAATCCACAGAGACAAAAGGTAGATCAGTGGTTGTCAGGGCAACCTGGGGAAAGGAGAACAGGGAGTGACTGCTTAGTGGTTATAGGGTTTCTTTTTGGGGATGATGAAAACATCCCCAATGAGTGGTGACTGCAGAACACTGTCACTGTACTAGAAACCTCTGAGCTGTAGACTTTAAATGGTGAGATTTATGTTATGTGAGTTTTACCTCAGAAAGAGTGTGCAGTGCCAGCTGTTAACAGGCCTTAAGCACAAGATGACCGTCATCTGCGGCCAGGTCTGTGTGCACCTTTCCCAGAAGTCATAATTCATGACAGTGAAACAGATGGCACATGGAAGTTTGCAAAGTTCCTAAGAGACATCTTGTATAAACTGTTTCACATCCATGAAAGGCAATGTTATGTATAATTTAAAAGAATGAATTTTAAAAGGTACAAATTTATGCAATGGATCTCCAAGATATAATTATCTGAAAAGATACTATGTAATTTTTATGTTTTAATATGCTTTTATTAATTTTAGAGAGAGAGGAAGGGAGAGGGGGAGAAACATCAATGAGAGTCATTGATGAGCTGCCTTCTGCACACCTCCCACTGGGGATCGAGTCCCCAACTTGGGCATGTGCCCTGATAGGGAATCCAACCGTGACCTACTGATGCACACTCCACTCCTGAGCCACAATGGCAGGGCCCTCTCTCTCTCTCTCAAATAAACAAAAAAATCAATAAAAACATATTTAAGAAACAAAGCATACTATGGAAAGCAGCTAAACCCAAAAGTATATACTGTCTGATTCCATTTACATAAAATTCAAAACCAGGCAAAACAAATCAATGCTGTTAAAAATCAAGATCATGGTTACCCTTCCGGGGAGCAGTGACAAGAAGGTCTGGGGGGTGGCATGTCCTGTTACTTGATCTGAGTGTGGAGCAGAAGACAGTTGCAGTCTTTAAGGATTCACAGAACTGTGCTTTGCTGTACACGTTACGCATCAAAAGAAGGTGAAAACCAATTTAAAACTGGTGTGGCTCAGTTGGTTGGCGTATCATCCAGTACACCAAAAGGTTGTGGGTTCGATTCCTGGTCAGGGAACATACCTAGGTTGCAAGTTCGATCCCCAATCAGAGTGCATCTAGGAGGCAATTGATCAATGTTTCTCTCCCACACTTCTCTCTCTTAAAAATGTCCTTGGGTGAGGGAAAGAAACGTGTGCCACCTTGCTGTTCAACATTTCTCCTAAATAACTCACCTCCAGTGGGGCACTGGAGTTAGACCTGGGCTGTGTCCCAGCCATCCCCTCTGGCCAAAGTTAGCAAACATGGAAACTCCCCTCCTGAGAGCAAGTGATGGGTTGGCAACAGAGCCTATATGGCCGCAGCAAGCAAAAAAGGTATGTGGGCTCTCAGGAGCACAGGGCTGAACCCTGCGGGGTAATATCCAGATGGAGCACAATATTGTTGGAAAGGGAACAAACACAGCTTAATCAGTCTACGTGTCTTGATGTCCAGAAGGTTACCCTCATCACTTGCTTGAAAAGAACCGAAATTAGCATTCCACTGAATATGGAGCTCCCCTGCATATTGGCAGCTGCCAAAAGCAATCAGATTTCCCAAAGGATCTCTGACATGAGGTAAGTTAACTACTGCAATGCCGCCTGCTCAGACACTTGCCCCCTGCAGTTTATTCTCAACATAGAAATCAGGAATCTGTGAGAACCTGACAGATTCTATTTCTTCTCTGCTCAGAACCTTTCAGTGGCTCCCCTCTCAACCAGAGTAAAAGCTTAAGTCCTTACAATGGCTTTCAGGCCTTAAGTGTCATAGAACCCCCCTCCCCCCCCATTAGCTCGTCTCCAACTTCTCTCCCCCTGGCTAACTCTACTCCACCCCCCACAGGCCTCCCAGCTGCTCCTAAAGTCTACAGCTCAGAGGTTTCTAGTACAGTGACAGTGCCAGCATCAGCCTGCCTAGGATCCCAGAAAGCTGCATAGCTCACAGCATAGCTCACTCCGCTTAAATGTCACCTCAGGGAGGCCTTGCCTAAGTCCTTATTTAAACAAAAACTTCTTGCCTGGCCAGTGTTGCTCAGTGGTAGATGTTGACCCATAAATTGGGTGTCACAGTTCCATTCCCAGTCAGGGCACGTGCCTAGGTTGCCAGTTGCGGGCTCCATCCCCAGTGGGGGGCGTAGAGGAGGCAGCCTATCAATGATTCTCTTTCATCATTGATGTTTTGATCTCTCCCTCTCCCTTCCTCTCTCTGAACTTAATAAAAATATATTTAAGCCCGACCAGCATGATTCAGTGGTCGATGTATGAACCAGGAGGTTATAGTTCAATTCCCAGGGCAAATGCCCAGGTATCAGATTCAATCCCCAGTGGGTGTGCAGGAGGCAGCCAATCAATAAGTCTCTCTCACCATTGATGTTTATCTCTCTCTCTCTCCTTCTCCCTTCCCCTCTGAAATCAATAAAAATAGAAATAGAAATATTTTTAATAAATAAATAAATACCTCTTGCTACTGCCTCCTACCCCAGCATTCCCCATTCCTCTTACCTCTTTGGTTTTCTTCCACAGCACCCGTCAGCTGACTTATGTTTTTCTTTTTTTTTTTTTAATATATATGTTTTTTATTGATTTTTTACAGAGAGGAAGAGAGAGGGATAGAAAGTTAGAAACATCGATGAGAGAGAATCATCGATCAGCTGCCTCTTGCACACCCCCTACTGGGGATGTGCCTGCAACCAAGGTACATGCCCTATGACCGGAATCGAACCTGGAAACTTTCAGTCTGCAGGCAGACGCTCTATCCACTGAGCCAAACCGGTTTCAGCTTATGTTTTACTTTTGCCTTTCCCCACTAACATGAAAGCTCCACAGGACTGACATAGCTATGTCTGATGCTGTCCACTTCTATTCGGCCCCAATATCTAAAACAGTTTGGCCTACAGAAGGTGCTTTATAATTAATTAGCCAATGAATGAATGAACAACTGAATCCACCCACTCTTGAATCTATAGGTCCCGTCCCTGTACTAACAGCTTCCATACCTGTCTCCAGCTCCAGCTCCGACCCCTAACTGCCAGCCGGATGACACCCCGTGGAAATCCCAAAGTCATATCAAATCTGCACATGCCAAGTGGACACATCACCTTCTCAGGCCGCCCCTCTCTGGGTCCCCACTTCAGGGACAGCAGCCCTGTCTCCCTCAGTTTCCCAGGCCGGAGGACCCTGTGCCTCCCGCCGGCCCCTGGGACTCCCTCACCCCCATGTCCTGTCTTCTCTGCTTTCAGTCTCTCTGCGTCCACTGCCACTGAGGTACAGAACGGGTGATCCTCCTGGGGTCACGGGGCATTTCCCCGGGGATCATAACAGAGCCCGGCAGAACCATCACTCAGTTATAAAAACAGGAATCCCTCCCCTTACACAAACACCTACGTGTTGACAGGGCACTTCTGCAGACACTATGTCACCTAATTATCACAATAACCCTGGGCCTGGATCTCATCGTTCCCAAAAGACAGGTGAGAAAACAAGTCCGGGGGACACTGAAGCACAGGGAGGGGAGAAGAGAGGGGCTAGTCTAAACAGCCGTTCCTGCCCGGTTGTTGTTCATCTTCACCATAGGATATGTTTGTTGTTGATTTTCAGAGAGAGTGGAAGGGAGGGAGAAGGAGAATGGAGAAAAGGGAGGGAGAGAGGGAGAGGAAGAGGGAAGGTGAGAGACAGAGACAGAGACAGACGGAGAGAAAGGCTGCCAATTGTCCAGGAAAGGAAGCTGAGGCCCAGGGCGCAGGGTCCGGCCGCGGGTCCCAGGCTCCCCTGGGGAGAGAGAGGAGGGCAGGGTCACCTGGAGCACCACGGAGATGGTCTTCTCGCCGGCTTTGGCTGCCCGCCACTTCCGGTACGTGTCGGCCTTGAGGAGGTTTTCTGCGCAGTGGGTCTGGGGATGGGAACAAACGGGAAAGGGAAAGTTAGGGTCCCTGCCGAGAAGAAAGCGAGGGGAACTTTCAGATTATTCCTCCGAGTCCTCCCTTCCCAAGCCCCCTGCGACCCCCCAGCTTTACGGGACCCCGTTCCTTCTCCCCACGCTCTGCCTGGGGTCCCCTCAGCCCTTCGCCCTGGAAGTTCGCCCACGAGCTCTCCACGGAGGAGCCCTCCTCCCTCCTTTCTCTCCGGGACTGCCATAGGCTCCCGGAAGTTCCCCCGGTCCAACTCTCTCTCAGAATCCCCTTCCGAGCTCCTGGAACCCCGCCCCACCCCACCCCGGACCCTCAGACTCCCAGGAAGGTCCCTTTTACACCCCAGAAGTTCTCACGGAGCCAGCCTCCCAGGAATGCCTTTACCTCCCTCGCCCCGGTCCCTCACCGAGTCCTGGCTGCTGCAGGACACCACATGGCGGAGGCGGATCTCCGGCATGTCAGCGTCGTGGGCTTCGCGGGACCCGAAGGAGGGAGGAGGGTCCGAGCTCGGGGGAGGGGGCGAGGAGGGGGTGCGCCCTGCGCGCGCTCAAGTGCGCACGCGCGCGAGGCTCGGGCCTTTCAAACCGCGGCGCGCCGGCGCACGCGTCAACCCGGCGCCTGCGCAGTGCGGCCTCTCCGGAGAGTGGCTCTGAGTTTCCCTAGCAACAGGCTTTTCCTCTAGCCCCGCCCCTCCCTGGCCCTGTCGCTCTTTAGCCCCACCTTCCGGTGACGGTCACAGCCCGCTTTTTCTGGGCGCCTAGCAACATCCAGGAGCGGCCTCCGGGATTGGTCCCTGGAAGAAATTCCCCATTCTCATTGGACAACGTGGTCACCGCCCAAACTGAAGCCTGTCTGCTAGAGGACCGCAAACCGGAGCGAATTTTTTTGCAGGGAGCCTGGAGCCTATTGCAACCGGATCCTCCACCGGTCCTGCAGCTGCTACCCTCTTCCCCCGCTCTCTTCCCACCACACACAAAGGGGGGGAAAAAATCTCAGCTCTCTCTCAGAGTCACCGCCCAAACTGACGCCTTTCTGCTAGAGGACCGCAAACCGGAGCGAATTTTTTTGCAGAGAGCCCTGGAGCCTTCTGCAACAGGATCCTCCACGGCTCCTGCAGCTGCTACCCTCTTCCCCGGCTCTCTTCCCACCACACACAAAGGAAAAGGAAAAAAAAAATCTCAGCTCTCTCAGAGTTAAGCCTGAGGCCAGGAGAGAGTGGGTCAAGAACCTCTCTCAATAAAACACAAAGCATAAGCCCAAGCCAGACACGCACACCCAGTCTAGCGTGCTTCCACCCAGACCTCAGTTTCCCAATGTGACCTGTGGGCATCGGTCTCCTACCGCGCCCATCGCTGCCCGAGGACAGGCACCCCTTCTGTTCGGGGCCCTGCCAGACCCAGCGATACAGCCCCAGGCGGGTAGGAGCTGGAGACAGCCCGAACAAAGAACAGGGAGTATGAGCCAAGCCCATGAAGAAAGGAAGGGAGACCAGGCTCCCGTGCCCCCGCAGAGCGAGCCTCGACGTGCTCGGCGCTCCCAGGTAGGGCCCCACCCACGCAGGGTGCCTCCTTGAGATGAGAGAGAAGAGAGAGGGGTTCTCAGACCTTGTAGCTGCCCTACACCTACAGGGAATCAAGTGACCCTGATTTTGACCTTGGGCTTTGGGCCAGAGGGGGGCAAAAAGGGGGGGGGGGCTGCGGGGAGTGAGAAAACAGGAAAGTGTCCCTCTGAGTCCTGATAGAAGAGGCAGGAAGCCTAGGCTCCTGGGGTCCCTCTGGAGGAGGGGCCTGGGCACAAGATGCCCATGTTCCTTTTGGATTCTGGTCCCACCTCCCCAACCCGGAGCCGCAGAGGCCTGCCCTGAGATCTTACCTCAGCTCTTGCTCGCCCCAGGGGGAAGGTGGGTCTGGACCCGCCCCTCCTCAGCTGCCTATAAGTACTGGGGACCTGGGGCTGCCGGCTCACACACCATGAGGCCGCCCACGACACCGAGCACCTTCCTGCTGGCCCTCACACTGCTCGGCACCCTGCTGGGTCTCGGTAAGTGACCGGAGGCTCTGGCGTCCTCCGGAAAGAGAGGACCGGGAGAGGACCGGCAGTCAGTGTGGTCTCTCCGAGGGAAAGAGCAGGCGTCCTGGGAACTCAGGTCATGTTGAAGGTAGACACTAAGGGAAGAGAAAGTCTGGGGCCTGAGACAGGAAAAGCTCAAAGGCGCTTGGATTGGATCTCTGAGGAAGGAGGGGACAGGGTGGGCTGAATCCTCTGTCCCCAGGAGGGGGGAGAGGGTCCTCAAAATGAGACATTTAAACTCTAGAAAATCACGTGAGAGCATGGTTAAGAAGGGACATTTTTAAAAACTGGGGGGAACGCCGAAATCGGTTTGGCTCAGTGGATAGAGTGTTGGCTTGCGGACTGAAAGGTCCCGGGTTCGATTCCGGTCAAGGGCATATACCTTGGTGCGGGCACATCCCCAGTTGGGGGTGTACAAGAAGCAGCTGATGGATGATTCTCTCTCATCAATGTTTCTAACTCTCTATCCCTCTCTCTTTCTCTCTGTGAAAAATCAATAAAATGTGTTTAAAAGAAAAAAAAAAAAAACTGGGGGGAGGAGAGCCCTAACCGGTTTGGCTCAGTGGATAGAGCGTCTCAAGGGACGCTCAGGTTCGATTCAGGTCAAGGGCATGTACCTGTGTTGCGGGCACATCCCCAGTAGGGTGTGTGCAGGAGGCAGCTGATTGATGTTTCTAACTCTTCCTCTCTGTAAAAAAAATCAACAAGATATATTTTTTAAAAAACTGGGGAGAGAGGGAGATATTAGCTTTTTTTCTTGGACTCTAGAGAGATCAAGCCCCCAGCCTCTCCTCCCTCAGAGGCAGGAGTGTAGGTAAGCCCCACCTTCTCCGGGTCCCGGGCTCTGGGCCCCAGGCTGCCTCCTCTCTCGGGGCTCAGGAGGCCCTGCCCTCAGCCCTCCTGTCCGCGCTCTCCCTTCTTGAACTGGGATGCAGACCTCAGATTCAGGTCCCCCTCCCGAAGCTTCTATTGTCCACAAACCTGCACCTGGTTCCCACGAGAAGGCGGATCCCACATCCAGGAACCAGCTGGGCCTGAAGCATCACAAAAACCCATGGAAACCTCCTCCGGGCCCGCTCCCTGGCCCTGAGCTTTCTAGAGTCCCCTGCCTTGTAATTAGGGAAACAGGCTCCGTGGTGGAGTCGCTTCCCGCCTCGGGAAGCAGCTTTGCGGGCATCCCCAGCGCGTCCCTGGCAGAGCGCTGGACAGCTCCCTGGACAGCGGTCAGCGCCCCACCCAGGAGCAGGGAGCCGCCCCCCCCTCCCTCACACCCCACAGGCCGCCCCTGTCCCCCCGCCCCGCGCATCCCCGCGGCCCCTGCACCCGCAGCCCGGACCATAGCCGGCCCTCTGCCCCGCAGGCTGCCCGCTGAGCTGCGAGGTGTGCAGGGGCTCCGGGCCCACGTGCAGCGGGAAGATGAAGACCTGCGAGGCCGGCAAGGACGCCTGCGTGGCCATCGTGGGCGAGTCGAGCACCAGTAGGAGCCCCGGCGTCAAACCCGGGGAGGCAGGCGGTTGCAAGGGAGGGACCGGCACGGGTGGTGGTGGGCGGGCAGAGGGGAGGGCAGGACTGTGCAGAGGGGGATGGATACAGGGATGCAGGGGAGTGATGGGACCATTGCTTGCTGTCAGGGGTTTCCAGAAATGAGCCTTTCCAAGAGAGAAGATAGGGGGTGGGGGGGCTTTCTCAGGCAGGACGGGGTGAGGAAAGGACGCAGGGAGCAGAGCAGGGAGCGGGGAAGAACTAAATTGGGGGGGCGGTCGTCATGAGAAGGAAGAGGCTGGGGGGTTGGGAAGGAGGGAGGGAGGGACAGACTACCCCAGCGATCATGGGGGTCCTGCGGGCTGGAAGAGACCGCTCCGTGCTGGAGGAGGGGGGCGATATTGGGGTAGAAGGAGAGAAATAAAAGGAACCACAGCAGACGGGAGCGGGGAGAGGGCGATGTAGAGAAGGGGCAGGAGGAAGGCTACTGAGTAGAAGGGGAGAGGAGGGAGGGGATGACTTAAATGAAAGGACCAGCCAGACCCGAGAAAGGAAGGGGGAGATGGGGAGCAATGGAAGGGACCACGGAGGGTTGGGGGGGGGGCGGGGATGGGGCATGGTGTAGGAATGAAGGCTGTGACAGCAGGTGGAGGGCCACCTTGAGTGTAGGAAGGAACCATCTCAGCGTGTATGGAAGGGGGGCGGGTAAGGAAGGGGGGATAGAGGGTGGCAGGCTGCTCCCCTGACCATGTCCGAATTGGCAGGTGGGGGAGGACCTGAAAGGCTTGAAGAGACACCGGCCACCCCTATGGGAAGGAGCCACAGACCTGGGGTGGAGGGGTGGGGAGAGGAAGCTGAGGGGAAAACCACCCTTTGGACTGGGCTGGGAGAGACCACATGTGGGGTGGGGGAAGGCGGCAGGGCCTGGAGGAGACCACGTAAGGCCTGGTCTGGGGGTGGCCAAAGCGGGTGGCCAGAGGCCTCAGCTGGAGGTCCGGGGGGGACACCGCTCAGAGAGGGCTGTGGGTGTTTCCGGGCTGCGGAATGGGGGCGGGCACCCCACGGTTTGTTGGAAGTGAAGGCGGGAAGAGAGCATCTCATGCGGGCACAGATGACCGGGGAAAGCACCGTCCACAGGACCTTGAGGCGGTGGCCAGGGCTGGGGGTATGGGGGAGTGAGAAGGCCTTGTTAGGCAGACCTGGGCTTGGCAATAGGGAACAGCCAGTGGCCACCAAAGGCTGGCAAGGGGCTGTGGTGATGAGGTGGGGGTGAGGAGAGCTCCCTAATAAACCACTCCAGACTGCACCCCGATAGAGAAGGGGGTATGGCTTTCGGGGGGCTGGAAAAGACCATCCCAGACAGTCACGGGTGGGGAAGCTGTGGGGTTGGTTGGGAGAGGCCCCAGGTAGGGGCCAACACTACCCAACCCCGCCCCTCCCGCCCCTCCCTCAGAGGGCCACCACTCGGTGAACAGCTACAAGGCCTGCATGAAGTTCAGCGACTGCTACTCGGGGTTCGTGTCCACCACCATGGGCCCCAAGGACTACATGGTGACCAACACGCACTGCTGCCAGAGTGATGGCTGCAATCATGGCTCGGTGCCCCGTAAGTGCCAGCTCAGCCCTGCCCCAAGAGCCGGTGTGTGTGCCCGCGCCCTCCGCTCACCCGTGCGCTGGAACCCTGGGCAAGCACCTTCCTCGAGAGCCCGCTTCTGCTCCTGCAAATGCAGGGTCCATAACCGCTGTGCCTCGGGGTTATTGTGAGATTGGGGTGGGGGGCGCGGGGGCTCCCTAAACGTCTCTTTGTACCTTGTGCTCCCCCCCTCCTCCCAGCTCCCGAGAACAACCGTACGGAGAACGGCCTGCAGTGTCCCGCCTGCGTCGTGCCCTTCCAGGAGACCTGCCCGGGCACCCAGGCCGCCCGCTGTGTGGGCCAGGAAACCCACTGCATCTACTTCGCGGGCAGAGTGCAGGCTGGTGAGGGGCAGGCACCTGGATCTCGGAAGGAGGGGGGCATAGGGGCCCCAGAACTAAGGTGACCAGACGTCCCGATTTTTCGAAAGATTTTGGTGGGACAAATTGTTAAAAATCGGGCCTATCCCGCCCAAAGCAGGACGTCTGGTCACCTTACCCAGAACTGGAGGAAGCCAGTGCTTCCAGGTTCTAGAGGAGATGGTGGCCCCAGAGACCTGGGTGAGGAGGTGGCAGGCCCACGATGTCTAGGTCCTGAGGAGGGAGCGGTTGGGGGCCCTGACTCCATGCTGAAACCTTCCTCCCAGGCATCATCAACACCAGGTTTGCCACGCGAGGCTGCGCCACGGAGAGCGCCTGCAACACCAAGCCTGGCGCCGAGGTGCCCTCAGCTTCCTATCTCTACTTCCTCCGCCGGGCAGACTGCCTCCCGGCCCTGCAGTCCCCTGGCAGGGGCGAGTGAGGATCCGAGGAATGTGTGGCCTGAGGTCCCCATTTGTCTCCGCCTGCAGCTACCCGTGGGCCTATAATTAAACAGATTGACTGAGCAAACCTGAGTCTTTATTTTTGAAATAATATATATATATATATATATTTTTTTTTTACAGAAAGAAAGGGAGATAGTTAGAAACATCGATGAGAGAGAAACATCGATCAGTCGCCTCCTGCACCCTCCCCTCCCCCAATTGGGGATGTGCCCGCAACCAAGGTACATGCCCTTGACCGGAATCGAACCTGGGACCTTTCAGTCCGAAGGCCAATGCTCTATCCACTGAGCCAAACCGGTTTCGGGTCAAGCGAGTCCGAGTCTTTGATGCATCGGAGGGAGGTGTGTCGTAGAGAGAGGTGGGGGAAACCCTACTTTTATGAAGGGGTTACTCCATGCTGGGACCCTGTGCTAAAGGTCTCCCATGCTGTACTTCATCTCATAATCATGGCAACTCCACCATTGGTATTATTACCCCCACTTTACAGATCAACAAACCGAGGCACAGATTAGGGTGTCATTTGCCTTGGGTCAACTCTTAAGGAGGGTCAGAGTCCTGACCACTTCTCCTGAGTGAGTTTGCCCTCTTTTTGCCTGTTTTCATGTTGGCAAAATGTAGATATCAATAGTTATAACCTCATAGAGTTGTTGTAAGAGTGAAATAATAATAGAGACACTGTGCCTAAGTGGTAGTCATCATAAAGGCTGCCACTTACTGAACGGCCTTCGCCTGCAGGTGCTAAGCATCGTCCTCATCAGGACAGACTAGATGATGCTACAGCAACAAGGAAGTCCCTGATCTCAGGGGTTTAAAACAACAAAGTTGTCAAGGCATGTGCAGGCATGCTGTGTAACAATGCATCTCAAAACAGACACAACAATAAGCAATCTTTTTTCTCAAGGGCTCGTGGGAGGCCGAGGTGGCTCTGCCGGCTCCTGCTCATGCTCTGGCTGACTTAGCTCTCCTTCTGGGAGGATCCAAGTTCTCCTCTTTGGGGTTTCACAAACCGCTGGGACCAGTGGCTCCCTGGCAGGTTCCAGGAGCACAAAAGCCAAGTGCACGGAAAGCCCCTGCCGAGGCCAGGCCTGCTAGCATTTCGCCGAGTGAAGTAAAGCATGCGGTCCAAGCCAACATGCGGGGAGCGGGGAGGAATGGTATTTGTGAACAAGCACCCGCTCACAGAAGTCTGATTCTTCCTTCACCTACGTGTTGTGCTTGGCACCATCCACGGTGTTCTGCTTATCATCCTAAGGCAGCCACGGACGTGAACACTGCCCATTTCTGTGCGCAGGGAAGTCTCACGTGAGCGATTAAATGCTGTGACTCAGAAAGGACTTGACGCAACTCTTCAGATGGAGCTGGTCACATGGCCCCACCAAACCCCGCGGGGCCCGGGGTGCAGCCCTGTCCTGTGATGTGGACATGTTTCATGGACAGCATCAATGGCCACTGAGGCCTCTTAGGGGCACTTTCCCGACGTCACAGCGTCATGTGATAGGCACTACTCTTCTCATTGCTGTTTTCAGGAAAAGAATTTGAGGCTCAGAAGGGATGTCACATTGGAGTTCACACAGGTAAAAAGTGGCAGAGCTTGAGATTTTATTTAATTGGTCATGTTGAGGGAGGAGAGACATCACAGAGGAGGAACAAGCCTGTATTAGCTATCTTTTACTATGTAACAGACCAATCTAAAAGTCAGTGGCGTAAGAACAATCACCTTTTACTTTGCTTATGATCTGGGGTCAGTTGGGTGGTTCTTCAGCTGGTCCCTGCTGGGTTCATTTGCTGTCAGCTAGGCAGCTCTGTTTCGGAGGGTTCTCAAGCTGTGGATTGGGGTGTCACGGCTGACTGGGCCACAACTCTGATGACCCAGCAGATTATCCGGGGTTTCCTGTTTCACTTCCCAAGCCTCTGCCTGTATCATGTTTCCTATTGTCATGTGGCCAGGTATGGAGTCAGAATAAGGGACTATCCAAGGGCATGGCTAGAGAGGCTGAACAAATTGGAGGCATTAATGGACTAGGCAGGTTCAATGTAAGATGCTTCACCATCACAGGGCCTAAGGTCAAAACATTCACTGGCCCACCCCAACCCCAGGGAGGCAAAACTCAGATAGATAGTCCCTCTCATTAATAATAATAATAAATGAAAATAAATTATTGATTTCAGAGAGGATGGGAAATGAGAAAGATAGAAACACCAATGATAAGAATCATTGATCAGCTGCCTCCTGCAGGTTCCACACTGGGGATCGAGCCTGCAACCCAGGCATGTGCCCTAACCTGACTGGGAATGGAACTGTGACCTCCTGGTTCATAGGTTGATGGTCACCATGCTGGCTGTGCTAGATAGTCTCTTGATTCCAGCTGAAGGGAAGCTTTCCTGGACAGAACCCCCACTGTCTTCCCCTTTGGGGCCCAGGAGTCCCCAGCCTTGGCTCCATCCTCCCCGAGACCCACAAGTCCAGGCTTCCAGCTCCAGCTAAAATCCCAAAAGAACAGACACAGAATGGCATTTCTACACAGCTTTATTCACTCCTCCAAAAAGCACCACAGGCCAGCCACACCCTCCGTTCACCCTGTGATGGTTCTCCACCCAATGGACTCAGTCCTTCCATCATTATCCAGAAATGCAGGAAACTCAGCAAAAGTGCTGAGATGGGATGAATGCTCAGTTCTCTGTGCTTATTCTGTTTCTGGCGGATGGCAACACCGAGATTCATCGTGCATTTCTTGAATTCTTGCCTCTGAAGGTCTTTCAGGCTGAAGGTGCCACATAGACACACCCCATGGCAGCCAGTGACCTGTCCACTGGGAGACGCAGTCTTTTCCGCTGGATGCCCAGACAGATAACGCTCTGGCAACCTTATGCCTCCACGAAGTCTAAAAGTCAAATGCCACCAAAAGTCATGATTTAAAAGGCAACCACTCCAGAAGGTAGTTGTGCCACTGGAGAGTACCAACATAGTTATATACAGGAACACAACCAGCACTCGCCAACAAGCACACGCAAACAACACTGGGTCCTGCCTTCTCAGGTATGATCTCTGGCATGATCCCCATTGGCATAAGGACAAAGGGGATTTGGAGCAGAGATGTCAGACAGGACCAAATCAGAGATGGTGTCAAAATGACAGAAAACCAGGGCACTCTGTGAGCAAAAGTAACCAGAATAGTGATCTTGGTGTTGCATGGGGCTGAGGGCATGTGGACCAGGACAACCAGACTACCCCTTGAGCTCCCAGTGTGCCTGGCTTTTTGGGGGCAGAGGGGAGCTGCAGTATGTTGACATGTTAGAATGCATGCACTTACATAGACACTGAATTCTCACAATACCCAGTAGGGTAGACACAATTTGCTGAGTGACTTGCACCAGGTCACCCCCAAACTCAGCAGACTGTCTGATCCTAGAGCTACAGTAGAATTGTATCCCCCTAAGACTGAGAGCTTTGACAATGCCTGGAGCCATCCCGTGTAGAGCCAAATGCTTTTCCCATCTCAACTTGAATGGGACGAATTGTGCCAGTGGGGGGAGTGCAAGCTGCAGCCAGGGAGCCAGCCCTCCAGCACCTGCCCCTCCGATCAGGTAGCCTTGCCTCCAGCTGTCAGAGGAAATGGGGTCTCGGAAGTGATGGCTGTCATCCAGCACTCCCATTCCAGAGGAGGAAATAAGGCACTGGTCCAAGCCACCCAGGGTGATGGTGGCAAAGTTGTGCTTGCTTCCCAGGTCCCCTGTCCTCAGACGGGCACTTTCTCTCATCTCAAGCCTGTTTCCTGTCTTGTGGCAACAGACTGACAATTCACATTTCCAGTCCTAGTTCTAATAAATTAAAGTAATAAATATTTACTAAGCACCTACTGTGTGTCAAGCACTCTTGTGGGTGCTGTGGGTACAGCATAGAACAAGACAGACAAGGGGATAATAACTAATAACAGGTAAATAAATAATTCTCTACAGTAATAATTACAAGGAAACCAGTTGACATGAATATTGGTGTGTGTGTGTGTGTGCATGCGCGCTGCTTCAGTTAGAGTGGTCAGGGAAGGTCTCTGAGGGGACATCTGAGCTGAGACCTGATTGACAGAAGGAGCTGCTCATGGAAATTTTGGGCAGAATGCACAAGTTCCAAGGTCCGATGGCCCGCTCAGGCATCGGAGGGAAGATCTAGCAACTGGCTGGGGGATGGGTGAGGCAGAGAATGAGCAAAGGCAGGGGCCAGGCCACAGAGCCTGTGTGTGCGGGGGGGCCTGGAACCTACCCTCTCTGAGCTTTGCTCTCCCCAGCTAGCACAGAAGTCTGCTACTGGATGGCCTCTCAGCTCCCCCTTGCTGCCCCCCCCCCACACACACACTTGCTGTTCTTGACACAAGAATTCTGTGACCTGCGGCTGTGCCTCTACGTGTAGGTGCAGCCCACAACATCGCAGGCTTCTGCCTCTGCTCCCTCGTGGCCCACCCCCACGGGCTGTGACACCTGCCCACTGGTTTTCTGGGCCCCGTGCTCACTGCGGCACTCCCCGTGTACACCAGGGAGCCCACACAGAAACGCTTGGGTTAGTGCAGCAGCACAGCGGCTTCTGCAAAAAGGCAGATGTACAAAAATGCCAAGGCCAGAAAGGGTTCAGGGTTAACGACAGCATAAAGCAAGTCCTAAAGGAGAGCGGGACAGAGGAACAGACTCCCAGAGAGCTCCGAATTCACTCAGCACCTGTGAAATGGGGCGGTCTTATCCCTCCCCAGTCAGTCACAGAGAAGGCCGTTTCCAGGGGGTTTGCAGGAGATACCTCTGAGGTACGGGTTCCTGCCAGAGAGCCTCATTCCTGGTGTCTGGCCACCCCCAGAGGCCACCAGGCCCCTTACCTCCTCCCCTCATTTTTGTGTGGCCATCCTCCCCTTCCCCAGGAGCAAATACTGAACATCCCTCTCCTCCCCAGACTGGAGGGTTTCTAGCTGTCACACACCTGCTCCCTCCTCTAGACGCAGACCTCCCACCATCCAGGAGCCAGGAGTCTGAGAACCCGAGACTGCCCTCCCCCCACCCAATGAAGGTTCAAAGCCCGCTACATCCTTCCCGCTAGAAAGCCTACGCCCTACATCCCTTTGTACCTTAGAAGTCCCTGGAGTACCCAGATCCCTTCCCTCATCCTGGAACCCCCCATACGAGGGACGAGTCCCTCACCAGGAATCAGGGCTTCCACACCACCTCCCCCTGGGGGACTAGTTGTCCCGTACATGCAGGATCTACTCCCTTCTAGAGTCCAACTGCTCAACTCCCTTCAGGACACAAGACCAGGGGTCCTGCCCCAGGATGCCCAGAGAAAGCAGGAGTCCCGACTCCCCGATTCCATTCCCCTTCGAGATCTAGGAATCCGGGTGACTAGAAGCCACATAACCCAACCAACAGCCAGTCTCACCCCCCTCAAGCACCCAGGATTCGGACTGGTGACATACTTGCTCTGTTACCTGAGGTCCAGGCATCCCAGGCCAGAGTCTGGACCCCCCAAACCCCTTCCTCTAAAACGGACTTGGAGTCCTCAGCCCCTGGCGGCCCCGGCCTTCATCCCCCCTCACTGAGCAGGCGCATGGGGTGCCAGCACCGCCTCCGCATCAGCCAGCATCTCGTCCAGCGCCTGCAGCAGGACGCCGTGGGCGGCGCGGTAGCCCAGGCCGCCCGTGGCCGCCGCGCCCCCTGCCGGCCACAGGAAGGAGAGCGCCCCCAGCGCCGCGCCGCCTGCGGTGCCCTCGCCGGCCCACGCGCCCAGCCTCGCCTCCACTTCGGCGCGCGTCACGGGGCCAGGGAAGCGCGTCCGCTTGGCCAGCTCCCCAGGAGCCAAGCCCAGCGTGCGCTCGCGCCGAGCCAGCGCTGCGGGTTCGAGCCCCAGCGCCCGCCGCCACTCTGCCAGCTGACCGCGCAGAAGCGCCACGTCACAGGCCCAGCCGAGCCCGGGCACTGGTGCCGCCGCCGCCGCCAGGCTGGCCAGCAGCGCCGGCCGCCAGGCCCCGGCCCGCAGCGCCGCCGCCTTGGTTCGGGCCGCGCGCGGGGACGCGGGGGGCAGCGCCAGCAGCAGCGCGCCCGCCTGGGCCGCGGGGAGTGCGCGCTGCAGCCACTCGCAGAGCCCGGGCAGCCCGCCCCTCCGCAGCGGGAACACGGGCGGCAGCGCCTCCTCCAGCACCTCCCACGTGTCGTCCTGGAGCTCAGGGCTCCAGGCAGTCGTGGGCTCAGAGTCCCCACTGCCCGACTGCTTCGCGGTGCCGCCGACCTGCTGCAAACTCTCACCGCCTGCTTTCCCCGAACCTTCCCCCTCGCCTGCTTTCTGCGATCCAGGGCCACGTTGGCCCCTTCCCTCGCTGCGTGCCTCCTTCTCTAAACTCTCCTCCCTGCTGGGCTTCTCGGCCTTCTCCTCTTCCTCCAGAGACTCCGGATCCTCGCCCTCGCCGTCTATTCGTACACAGACCAGCGGGGCGTCCGGCAGCACCAAGGGCCGGACCTGGGCCCAGTCCTCCTCGGTGGGGGCTCCGGCGGTGACCAGGATGAGGGCGTCGTAGTGGGCTGGGTGGGGGGCGGCAGCAGTAGTCTCGGAGCCCAGAGGGATGGTCCAGAGCACCACGTTGGGGCGCTCCGGGGCAGGGTAGGGTGTGGGCCCGGTGGGCGCCGAAGCAGGCACGGCACCCGGGTCCCCCGTGTCCAGCCCGAGCAGCATGTCCAGCACGAAGCCCGTGTCAGCGGCGCCGGCTATGGCCAGGTCCAGCCGGGCGCTGCCCAGCCGCTCCAGGCCAGCCCGGACCCAGGAGAGCGCCGCCTCCAGGCCACCCTTCTCGAAGGCCTCGCGCACAGCCTCCAGCTCGGCGGCTCCCAGCACCTCGAAGCCGTCCTGAGCCGGCGGCAGGAGCCTGTGGGACAGGAAGGCATAGGGTCAGAGGCAGAAAAGGGATGAAAGCCCCGGAGAGCTGGGCTAGTGTGATTAGGGCCCACTCAGGGTCCAGTTCCTGGAGGAGGCCACACACTGAAATGAAGAGAGACTAGAAAAGAGTTAATTCGGGACAAATGGGGGGCCAGGCAGGAGTCAACCTCTAGTGGGAAGACTCCAGGCTCTGGCCTTGCTATCCCTTTTATTGAGGCTGCGAAGGGATCACCCATTCCCCTTAAGCAGCTTTGGGAAACACCCATAGCCCTTAGGCAGGTAATAAGCAGATTATCATATCAGTAAGGATTTACATGATTACAAGATGGGGAAGTTGCCTGTTACGATTGTCTCAATTAGACAGGGAGTGGTTGGCTCTGACCTTTCAGAGCTTCCGGGTTGACCAGCCTCTTTCTATTAGTGAGATAATGATTGGTTTCTGGCTGGCGGGGGGACTGGACGGGGCCAGGAGGATGAAGGTGGAACTTTCGGAATCATCTTGAGTGACAAAAGAGCAGAAAAAGGAGGGGCCGGTTGATGTCCCAGCAAATAGAAACCAGGGCTAAGATGAAAAGAGGTTTAAAGAAGGGATGGGGTGGCTTGAATGAGCTTAAGTTTCCAACAAAGCCAAAAACCAGACCCCGCTGCCTTCCCCAGCAGTCTTTGGGGTGAGGCTTTTCCTAGGGACCTGCAAGGTTAAGAAAAAGCTGTGCTGGCCCTGACCGGTTTGGCTCAGTGGATAGAATGTCGGCCTGTGGATTAAAAGAACCCAAGTTCGATTCCGGTCAAGGGCATGAACCTTGGTTGTGGGCACAACCCCAGTGAGAGATGTGCAGGAGGCAGCTGGTCGATGTTTCTAACTCTATCCCTCTCCCTTCTTCTCTGTAAAAAATCAATAAAATATATTTAAAAAAAGAAAAGGCTGTGCTGGGTGGGGTAAAACAAGCAGGCAGGGCTTGGAGCAAAGACGGAATGAGCACTGTATTAAATGAAAGTTCAGCACTATTCATTATTCCACATGGGCAAGGTCACCAAGAGGGCTCCTTCCTGACACTGGGCGTAAGGAAGGGAGGAGAGACCAGGGAGAAACCTCACCTACTGGGGGGGGGGGGGGGGGGGGCTAAGGAAAACAGATGAGCAGTGGGACCGGGGGAGAGGCTGCACTCCCGAAGCCAGAGGCAGCTGGGGGACAACATTCGGGAGGCAGCCAGCTGCACTCCCGAAGCCAGAGGCAGCTGGGGGACAACATTCGGGAGGCAGCCAGCAAGTGGGCACAAAAACGAGAGATTAAGGAATGGCAGTGGGCGAGGGCACCCGGAAATAATGATGCTCACCGAGGGTGTGGCTTTAGGGCAACGGGGGTCCCTAGAGAACCATGCTGATGGGGAGAACAAGGAAGATTTGAGACTACAAGCCTTCGGGTAAAATCTCTGTGAGATCACCAGCGTGTGTGGAAGAGAGAGCCCTTCTTCACGCTTGTGCATGGGGGCGGAATGTGGGTGACAGCTCCCAGCCTCTGCTGGAATTCTATTTAGGGAGAGAGGCTGGTGACCTCAGAGCACTCAGGAGGAGGGACCTGAGTGATGGGTCCTGACCTCCTGCAGGTCCCCAGCACAGGGCGGGGCCTCTCTAACAAAAGAGGGTCCAGCAGCCGAAACCCGTTTGGCTCAGTGGATAGAGCGTCCCAGGTTCGATTCTGGTCAAGGGCATGTACCTTGGTTGCCGGCACATCCCCAGTGGGGGGGGGTGCAAGAGGCAGCTGGTCGATGTTTCTCTCTCAACGATGTTTCTAACTCTCTGTCCCTCTCTCTTCCTCTCTGTAATAAATCAATAAAATATATTTTTTTTAAAAAAGAGGGTCAAGTAGAGCTGCTTGCTTGAGGATTGCATCACAGACCGCAGAACGCGAGCTAAGGGGCGGGGCCTGGCTTCTTGGATTTGGGAACAGGGCCTCCAGCAGTTCCGAGTTCAGACTTGCTCCAAACTTGCGGGGGTGTCTGGTAGACTTACCAAGCACCCCTGGAGTGAGGTCTACATGAAAAGACCAAGCGTCCCCAACCCACCCTGAACCGCCAGGCTCACCTCTGCAGTGCCTCCGCCTGGCTCCGCAGTGTTGCCCGCAGGCGCTCCAGTTCCTCGCAGCCGCCTTCGCAGTCCGCCTGCAGCACGTAGAGCGGCACGGCGCCCAGCCCAGCGCTGGCCAGGAGGGCCGCTGTTTGATCACGGGCCTGGGCTTCATCCTGGGGGTTCCCGGGATGGAGGTTCCGCACAGCCAGCAGCGGGGTTCCTCGGGCCAGCGCGGCCCGCGCCGCCTCCCCCAGCGCCGGGGCCAAGGGCTCGTCGGTGTCCTCGGGGCTGGGCAGCACCAGGACCAACACGTTGGCCTCCGCTGCCCAGGGCCCCGGCGCGGCGGGCGGGCAACTCAGCTCCCCCAGGAAGAGGCCCGGACCCGCAGCTCGCAGGCTGGGGAGCCCGGGGTCCGGCCGCCCGTCGGGGATCTCTACCACGTCCACGTCCTTGTTGCAGAGCGCGGCCACCAGCGCGGACTTCCCGGCGCCCGGGGGCCCCAGGAGCAGGGCGGTGACGTCACCGCGCGGCAGAGGCATCGCTGGAAGGCAAGCGCCGGGGAGACGGCGGTCAGGGGGCGCCCGGCCCTGCTCTAGGCTGACAATCCCACGCTGGCCCTCGCCTTCAGCCCTCCGCCCTGTCCCCTTCCTCCGTTCCCCGGCATCACCTCCAGGGACCCGGAGTCCTCTCCGGTCCTCCGTATGGATGTGTTTCCCTTTCTACTCCAAAAACTCAGGAATCCGGCCTCTAGCCCTCCCCTTCCCTCTGGGCCACGTTAATTTCTAATCCCCCACCCCTCCCGGCCAAATCACCCACCGAGCAAACGGCCCGAGGGTGCCGTCGCACAGGCGCTGGTGGCCCGCCCGCCGCTGGGAGGTCGGACCGCCGGGGCCCGAAGAGGCTGGAGCGCCGGGGTTTGGGGTCCTCCGGACGTGTTCGGGGAGCTCTAACCTGACGTCATTTCTCCTAGGAGGAGGTGCCGAGGGAGTGTGATCTCGGGGACCTGGCCCTTCGCGGCGCCTGCGCAGAATGGCGCCAGGAGCACGCTCCCTCCGCGCAGCCGCAGAACCGCGACCAATGAGGAGCCAGGGCGCCTGCGCGCCGGCCACACCTGCGCAGTGACAGGTCAGGACACCTGCGCAGTGACAGGCCCCGGCGGCACGGGCGGCGGTGGCGTCATCATGCCGCTCCCCAGGGCGGAGAAGGACCCTTCCTGCTGTTTTCAGGACCGGGTGGCACGCCTGCATCCCTGCGGGGTGGCCATCCAGGATCTCATCGGGCGGAAGAACATGGAGACCACCGGGACCCTGAGACCAGGCGGGCCCCACCCGGCTTCCCTCCGGGGGGCGGCGTGATGACGGGCCACTGACAGGCGCCACGCCAGGCAGCCTTCCTGCTGTTGGGAGCCAAGCGGAGGCCCGGGCTGCCCACCTGGAAGCGCGAGGAGGCGGGGCTCTGGGTGGAACCGGCCTCAGGATGTCGGAGGAGGCTGTCTACCGGGAGGAGGCGGGCTAAAGCGTGGGTACCACCGCCTGCCCCAGGAATGGTGGGAGAGACGGGGACGAGGATGGTGTCAGATCCAGGGTCCGCGCACCGAGTCTAGGGAGCTGCTTTGCTGTAGGTCTTGGGTCTCACACAGGTGGGATGGCTCTAAGGGGAGTCACAAACCCAGGGAATAGAATCTTTAGGGGGATAAGGGGTTTGAAGTTTCTCTAGTGAGAGCTCCATCAGATTAGAGTTCAAGGAGAGGGTATCGCCACGGGTCCAAGGCTGGCAAAGGAGAGCCTTCGTGGGCTCGGGCTGATGACAGATGAGCCGCCTCTTTTTTTTTAATTTTTTTTTAATATTTTATTGGTTTTGTACAGAGAGAAAGGGAGAGAGATAGTTAGAAACATCGATGAGAGTCATCGATCAGCTGCCTCTTGCACACCCCCCACTGGGGATATGCCCGCAACCAAGGTACATGCCCTTGATCAGAATCGAACCCGGATCCCTTCAGTCCCCAAGCCGACGCTCTATCCATTGAGCCAAACCGGTTTCTTTTGAGTTTCTGTTCTATCATGCGTGCTCCTCTCTTGACCAGAGGGGTTCTAGTCACCATGGAGGACCCGTTTCCCAAAGAGACCATGGAGCAGCTGGATTTGTCAAAAGAGGGGAGTCCCCGCAGTGCAGGAGGCGACATCTGTGAGTACCGCTGGCCAGCGGGTGGGGTGCAGGAACTTATGCTAAAAGGATTTCTGTAGCATTTCAGTGTCCAAGGTGCTGTGGGGACTTGCCTGTTGGGGAGCTAGTCCTACAGGAACTGCCACTCCCCTTCTTTGCTCTTATTATGCTCAGATGTACCCACCTGCTCTGTCCACACAAGTAGGAATGGGATGCAGTTCAGAGGGACAAAATCCCTCTTGGGATTGGGATGGGAGATGTGGCTGGGATACCACAGAGACTGAGAGGAACCCCAAGGTTCCAGTTCCAACACTGGGCAGACTTGCAGTGGGGCTTGGGACCTGGTCTCCCTGGCTGTGAAAAAAGTCTGCCATCACTCACCTCTCCTCGCCACAAAGGGGTGTTATGTAGGTTCCTGGCAGAAAACTTGAGGATAATGGAGGTAGCCAGTTTGACATAATAGCAACAGCTTCCTCTGAATGCTTACTACCATCCAGACCACCTCACAGAGCCTATGGAATCCGTTATCACTTTCAGTTGAGGGAACCGAGCAAAGGGAGGTTAAGTATTTTAACGACAGCCCGAGTCAATGTTCTCCAGCCAAAGGGAAATGACCGGGGAACACACCCGAGGTTATTATTGCTCACTACGCTGCGAAGCACACACACTGCAGGGGCACCAACTGTGGTAGGTGATTTTGGGGCGAATTTAAGGAAGAGAGTTTTTGCTCTGGATTGGATGGTGCCAGGAATCAGGGTGACTCTTTGGCTGGCTATCATAAGAAACCTTACCTAGCAGGCAGAGGAGCAAGCAGGGCACAAGCTGTGATTGGCAAAGCAGCAGTCACCTCTCAGATTAGCCAGGACGGGGGTGGGAGGTGTTTGGTCGTTTTTGTGGCTTGGACAATATGAACGTTTTGTCTGTGTTCAGATGCAATTATGGCATGATCTTGCCCCCCACCCCCCCCCACACACACACCTAAAACTGTACAAACGCTTTAAGTGGTTTAAGGGGAAAAAGAGGGGATATGACAGCTCTGGCTCTGGGGCAGCTTCACAGACTCTGTGGCCGCCCTCCCATTGCTGGCTTGATTCAGTTAGTGTGGCGGTGTCTGATGGTTTTCTGTAAAATAGTTTATATTCAACAGGACAATGCCAAAGCCCATCTATAGTGCCAGGCCAGCTCCTTCTTAAATAGTAGAACCAGCCGTCTCCAGAGGCTGTGCTCTGACCACCCGGCAGTACTGGAAGGACAGACTCTCTGAGTCCCAGCCCTAACTCCATTTCACTTCCTAACCTCATGACTGTGGGCAAGTTACCTAACTTTTCTGAGCCTCAGTCTGCTTACCCTTAAAACAGGCCCAGTGATAATTTGCCTGACTGCTTGCTGCCCAGCCCTGGCATACAGCCTGGCACATAGTAAGCACTGAATGTTCATCGTTGGCATGATGCTGGGGCTTGGGAGAAGTCCTGGAGGCTCTTGCTGGCCTCCCCCGACCTCTCCCCACGTCCCTCAGGCCATCTGGGGGCCCTACAGTGCACCCGCTGCCTCATCACCTTCGCCAGTTCCAGGAGCGCCACGTGAAGCGGGAACACCCAGCGGACTTCGCGGCCCAGAAGCTGCAGTGGGCCCTCTCCGTCTGCTTCACCTGCGCCCGCTCCTTCCCCTCCTCCAGGGCCCTGATCGCCCACCAGCGCAGCCACAGTCCTGCCGCCAGGCCCTCCCTGACGGCTGCACCCACCACTGCCCTGACCACCTTCCCCTGTCCCGATCGTGCCAAGACCTTTGGGCAGGCCGCTTCTCTGAGGTGGCGCCGCTTCTCTGAGGTGGCACCGCGGGGTGCATGAGGCCCGCTTCCCGTCTGGCCCCTTTGCCTGCACTGAGTGTGGGCAGGACTTTGCCCAGGAAGCCGGGCTGCATCAGCACTACATCCGGCATGCCCGCGGGGACCTCTAAGCGCAGCTCCAGCCCGGGGCAGAGTGGGCTCTGGGCTGGTGGGACTACCTTTAATAAGGGGATGGGCCCTCGGAGGAATTTGCTGGAAAGGCAAAGGGCTCCTGATTAATAGAAGCCGGAGAATATGCTCTTTAGAGCTTCAGTCCTTGGAGGACAGAAAGGCCTTCGGGGCAACGGTGAAATCAGACAATCGTGAGATCTTTTGTTAAATATCTACGAGGGAAAATTATTTTTATCTCCCTCGTTCCCAATTAAGTCGTTTGAAACCACAAGCAACTGTGGGTTGTGTAATCACCTTTCATTCTCTCCAGATGGATGCCATGGGCTGTGGGAGCACATGCCTGGCTTTGTGCCTGACGGGAGCAGGGAAGGGGAGTGTTGCTGGCCCGGGGAGCCACCAGATGGGTCCCAGGCATGGGCAGCTCCAGCCTTCGGGCATGGGCAGCAAGGTTAGGACCTGCACTGAGGAACGTGGGGTTGCGGTTCAAATCTGTCTTCTCTCCACCCTCCCCCAGCCTTTCCCACCGAGGAGCCATGGTATTGGGTGGCTTTGTCCTCGCTCCAGGGAATTCACTGCCATTTAAGTAATTTTATGTACCATTCTAGTCATGGATATTTTGCATATGTGTAGGTGAAATGACATGAATAAACTAACAGAAATAGTATCTAAAGACAGAAAAGCTCTACATTGAGATAGCTAAACAAGAGACTCTGGTTTTTTTTCAGCAGAAATTCCCCGAGTACATAAGAAGGACATGAGGGGGATGTCAGGGCTGAGCCCTGTGAGGAAACTGGTTTGGAATCAAACAGAGATACCTTCTGTTTCCTGTTGTATTTGGCCAGCACTGGGAGATTTCCCATTAAGATCCTATTTCAGCTCCTGAAAAGCCCATCCTCGGCGGAGTGTCACCTGGCCGATTTAACTCCCTTGCATACCTGCCCTGCCCCTAGACACAATGGTTGATGCCCTGTATTCAATAATCACGGACTCATTTAAAACATTTTTTAAATATATTTTATTGATTTTTCACAGAGAGGAAGAGAGAGGGGATAGAGAGTTAGAAACATCGATGAGAATCATTGATCAGCTGCCTCTTGCACACCCCCTACTGGGGATGTGCCCGCAACCAAGGTACATGCCCTTGACCGGAATCAAACCTGGGACCTTTCAGTCCGCAGGCCACCGCTCTATCCACTGAGCCAAACCGGTCCCGGCCATGGACTCATTTAAATTGAGGATGTTTTTAAAGCCCACAGGTGGGATGGATGCGGTAGTGACTGACGGCTGTCTCCCAATGGTTAGCTAGGCAAATGATAGCTACAAAGACCACATTTCCCAGATCCTCTTGCAGCTAGCAGTGGCCATGTGACTAAGTTCTGGCTCAAGTCCTAGGTAGAGTCCTCCAGCTTCAGAAAGGGACACGCCTTCCTTCCACTTTCTGCCTGGAATGTGGATATGGTATCCAGCCATTTTGCACCACGAGAGCAACAGAGGGGATGGCAGAGCAACTTCATGCAGCACTGCCATCCCATCAGCCCGAGAACCCACTTCCCTGCTGTTATGTAAGAGAGAAATAAGCCTCTGTCTTGTTTAAGTGCCATTAGCTTGGGTCTCTGTCACATGCAGCAAAATGTATAGCCTAAGGCAGGTGTCTGCAAACTGTGGCCAAATCCAGCTTACCTCCTGATTTTGCAAATAAAGTTTTATTGAAACACAGTCATGCTTGTTCACTTACATATTGTGTATGGTTGTTTTCACATAGGACAGCAGATTTGAGGAGCTGCAACAGAGATTATAAAGCCTACAACAGCCGAAACCGGTTTGGCTCAATGGATAGAGCG